CCCTTTCCTCACTGTTTAGGGAAACCCCACTCGCCCTCTGTGCCCACCAGCGAGGGTTATCTCAGCCAGCCTCCCCGTCTGGCCCTGGTCCATTCCTTTTAAGAGTACCTTTCTCGGTGTACAAAGTATAATCAAAATATATAGTAAATATTTAAATTAAAAACTGATTACGGTAAAAGACATATTGTCCTTTTCAAAATACTTCCCCTTGTCTCTAACATACATATCCCATCATTCTGGCCACTTTCTGAAGCAGCTTTGGAAGTCCTCGTTCATGAGTGTCTTTACAAGGTGTGATTAAGGCCTATGGGGGCTGCGCCTGCTGAGTGCCATCCAGTGGAGAGGTGGGCTCCTAAAAACAGCACAGTGTGTCCTCAACTACCTTATTCACTGGATCTGGCACCAGGTGACTTCTGGCTGTTTCCCAGAGTCAGTATGACCTTGGGAAGGGGACCAAGAAATGGAATGTGTGGGGGCGGGGGAAGGATGAAAAGGAAAGAAGATGTGTGTGCCCGTGTACCAACTCCCCACGGTGAATGTCATCGGGTACTACAAAGACGCACAAATAAAGTAAAAATTGAAAACCGTGAAAGGTAAACATTGTGAAATCAGTTCAGGACATCAAGGAAGCCACACAGCATAACCTAAGACACTCACTGAGGAGAACTTCCCAGAACTCCTCCAGAAAGTGGCCAGAACGATGGGGTAAGTGTCTTTGAAACAAGGGAGAGTATTTTTCATTTAAAAATTTTTATTAGTATCTGTTTGCAGTATGTAATTATTATATTTATTGTGGTACATATACATAGCATATGTTATTTTTTAAATTTTATTTTTCTCTACAGCATTTTGAGAGGGGTTAATGGCAATGTATCTTTTACGAGCCTACATTTTTTATATTTCATCTTTTTGAGACAGGGTCTTGCTTTGCAGTTCAGGCTGACTTGAACTCACCGTGTAGCCTAGGCTGGCCTCAAACTCATGACAGTCCTGCCTCAGCTTCCTGAGTGCTGGGATTACAGGCGTGCATCACCATACCCGACCTGTCCTAAACATTTAAACGTTTAAATAGTCACCATATTTTTCAGCCATACCTCAAATAATCCAATTTGTAATTGCTTCCTCGTAAACACTTACTTTGTGCAGAGCTTGATCTTAAGTGCTTTACATGCTTAATCTCATTTGATCTTATAACATCTGTACAGTGATGTAGGTAGTAATATGACCTCCGTTTTATAGAGAAGTGAGTCTCTGTGAAGTTTAGCAGTTTTCTAAAGGCCTCTAGCTTCTAAACTGGGGTAAGGATTTGAACTGGGCTTTCTCTGCACCCAGACCCTTACTTTTATATTAGTTATATTAGTTAACTCTTTATTTTTATTGTGTCACCATCATCATCATCATTGTCATCGTACTGGGGATTGAACCCAGGGCCTTCACACTGACCTACATACACAGTCATTCTGATTTATTTTGTGACAGAGTCTTGACAGACCACACTCCAATTGTGACCCTCCTGCCTGCCTCAGTCTCCCAGAGTGTGCGAGTTTCAGGAATGAGCCACGGCACCAGCTTATTTATTTCTGATATGAGTTTTGCAGTGTTGCCCAAGCTGGTCTTAAATTCGTGAGTTCACGTGATCATCCCGCCTTAGTCTTTTGAGGGCTGGGTCTACACGTATGGGTCACTGTGCCCAGCTCTCTCTCTCTTCTTACAACATTTTCTTCGACTCCCCAAAGACTGGGAGCATCTTTTACCTTATTGCATCCCCCGCTGTGCTGGGCACTTAGCATATGCTGCACAAATGCCTACATTTGTTTGAGTAGCAGAGCAGTTTTTATTGCTGGACCTCTAAATACAGCTCTGCATGCTGAGTTTCAAAAATGCATTAATTGTCTGAATGTTACTAATAGTATTATTACTGTTATTATTTTGATATGGGATCTTGTTAAATTGCTTATGTAGCCTTGAATGGATCATCCTCCCAAGTAGTTGACATTGTAAGCCTGAACTACTGTAGCTGGCCCATAACTAATAATAATGAGTATAGTGAATAAGCTTTGTGTTTTCTTATGAAATGTTTGTTTTTATACTTACACATATTGAACATGCTTAATCAAAAATTCAGAAGTCTAGAATGTTGTAAAATCTGATGCATTTGGGGCACAAAATGATACTATAAGTGGAAAAATCCATACCATCAAACTTTGTTTCATACACAAAATTATTTAAAATATTGTATAAAATTATCTTCAGGCTATGGGTATAAGATGTATGTACAGCAGTAACTGAATGTTCATGTTAGCTCAGTCCCATCCTAATTTATCGCATATATATACAAGTATTCTAAAATAAAAATGTCTGGAAACCAAAACACTTCTATTCCTTAACGTTTTGAATAAGGGATATCCAACCTGTGTATCTTCATGCATATAGGATGCAATCTTCCCATATAAAGCATGTGTTAGCGTTTCATTGCTGTAACAAAAATACTGATCAGGTCAACTGAAAAGAGGACATTTATTATGGCTCACAGTTTCCGAGGTTTTAGTCCATAGTTGCTTGGTCCTGTTATGAAGCAGGACATCATGTGGAAGGGCATGACAAGACAAAGCATGGAGCTGGGGATAAGATAAAATCCCCAAGGATATGTGCCCATGACCCTCTCCCTTTATGTTTTCATAATGCCATCAAGTTATTAATCTGTTAGTGGATTAATCCATTAAGTTAAAGCCTTCATGATTCAGTCACCTTCCAGAAGCTTCTATTCTGAATATGGCTGCACTGGGGAGAAAGCCTTTGATTTGAGCCTTTGGGCCAGGGATTTTCAAATACAAATCATAACAAAAGCAATCTTACACAGTTACATAATTAGAGATTATAAAACCTTAGGAATGAGTAGGGCCTCTAATATTGTGGTCCCCATTTAATGAGGACTCAGAGAGGTTAAATGAGTTGCCCCAGATTCTTCAGTTAGCAGAAAAAAAGAGACACCATGGAGGCTGTGGGAGCCTGGGGTTCTTTTTCTTCTGGCTGCAAATGCCTTTGCACTGTAAAAAGACTTTGTTTATTGTAACAGGCCACACAGTGTGGAAGGTGTTATTTTATTAAATGGCAGGCAAATAATAATGTAACCAAGTTAGCTAAATGGAAGGGAGGCAGGTATGTTGAGGAGCTGTTTTTCTTCTGATGATGGCTGGAATATGAGCAGCTCAGAGTGGATCTGAGCTGCAGCCTCGCTGAGGGTCTGCTTAGCTGTGTGCAGCACCCGGATGTCAGGAGAGGGCATCAGGCTGGGAGAGGCAGGGGAGGGTCTATTCCCCACTTGCTGATTTCTGTCCTGAGCTTTTGCTTCTGTGCCCCTTACCTGGGAGACGCCTCCCCATCCTGCTCCCTGCTGCTGACTGTTTCCTGCTGCCTGTGATTCACACCAGGTTACTGCTTTCCCAACCCACTGCAGGAAACTCACCTTTATCCCTGCTTCCTGTGTCAACCCATCCTGGTACAGTTGTCGCCCGCATCAACAGTGTCGCTTTCCACAATCAACCTCGGTTCAGAAGGACTAAGTGGAACGTTCCATATTGAAAGTGGGGAGAGGAATTGTCACCTAACTTTTATAACAGTGTATTCTTAGAATTGTTCTATTTTATTATTAACTAATGCTTTGAATTTCTTACTGTGTATGAAGAGGAAAACCTGTAGTCCATAAAGGATCTGGTGCTGCCCATAGTTCCAGGCATCCCCTGGAGTCTGGGAATGAACCTTGGGGGATGGAGGGAAACCTGGATGAGCTTTTGGTGACCATGGGGCCCACAGCTGCTTCTCTTTGGCTTCTTGGAGTTACTCAGGGTGTACTTGAGAGCTGCAGGATTGGTGGCTGATTGGTGAGCACATCTGGAACAAAAGAGCATGGTCAATTTCCCCATTAGTAGGGACTCAGCTGGGAGCATTTGGAATCTCTGCATGAGATTTTGCCAACATCAGTCCCAAACCAAATATAGAGAAACACCAAAGTTATTTTTTTTTAAATAGAGTAAAACCTCCAGTTTGTTTTAAAATAGCCTCCAGTTGATTTTATTTCCCTTAAAGTTTTTCAAGTAAGCCATTTCCCTTCTCTTCCCTTCCCTTCCCTTCCCTTCCCTTCTCTTTTTTGAGACAAAGTCTTCTGTGTTGCCCAGGCTGGTTTTGAATACCTGGACTCAAGCAATCTTCCTGCTTCAGCTTCCCAAGTAGCTGGGACTAGGTATATGCTACCATACCTGGTTGGCAAATATTTTAAAATTTTAAAATGACTCCAAAGATAATTAGAAATGAATTTTGTCTGTCTTCCTGTACAATGTATTAAATCTTCCTAGGACAACTTACCAATTCCCTTTGGCTTGAACACTTTCTTGGATATTGATGACTTTTATTCAAGTCTCTGACCCTTATCTCTTCTGAACTTGGGGCAGTTATTTCCAGTCACCTGCAAGACATTGTAGGTATCTTAGCATCCTTTTAGAGCTTACATGATAAAGCAGAAGTATGTGCTTCCAAAAGGTGGTAAGTATTTTTCAGCATTTTCTTTTTCTTTCTTATATGTCTCCTTTTTTTCCCCTAGTGCCCAGGGCCTGGGGCATGCTAGGCAAGTGCTGTACCACTGAACTACACCCCCAGTCCTCTTTTTGTATTTTCTATTTTGGTTTCTCTCTTTCATGGTATATGGTATCTCACTTTCTGTTCAGCAAAATCCTCTCTTGTTAAGGTCCATTCACTCTTGCAAATGTTCCCAGACTCTCCAAATCAGAATGAAGCTCTGAGCTCCCCAACCTGGGAAATGCCTGTGTCACCAAAGCACATGTGTTGAGCAATAACCTACTGTTCTGTGTCCATCTTGTTCCTGCTCCTAGTAGGAAGCCTCTGGGTTTCCCTTTGTATCTTTGAATCTCAGTCAGTGCTGTGGAGAGCTCAACCAGCTTCTGAAATAGTTCCCATCAACTGGTTTTTCCTGTTTTGTTTTACAGATTGAAGCACTTGTGAAGGATATGCAGAACCCGGAGACTGGAGTCAAAATGCAGAACCAGAGGGTCCTGGTCACCAGTGTCCCTCACGCCATGACAGGTGATGGGGCCCATAGCTTAGTCTCGGCCTGGAACAGTCCCCACGAAGGAGCTGACAAATGAGCACACAGGCCAAATTTGCCCACAATCTGTATTTGCAAATAAAGTTTTGTCAGAGTGTATCCACATCCATTATGTAGTATTTATGGCTGCTTTTACACTACATTGGTAGAGTTAAATATATAATTGTGCAGAGACTGAATCATGGCCCACAAAGTTGAAGTTTTTATAGAATTCTACATATTGTAGAATATTTCCTGGTGCTTGAACTAGTTTTCTTCCAAGGAAGGAATAAGAAAAGGAAGAGAAGGATTCAATAGGTGAATTGAAATCATCCTGCCCAGGAGGTTATTTTACTTATGTTTATTGCTTTTTGCTTTCTTCTTTTGTTTTAACAAAATCAGGTACCAGGGGAAAATGCTATTTGGCAGGAAAGAACATTGGTTTTTGTCTTGTCCTATCCTTCCTTACCTTCTAGTTCATACCTACCTAGGGGTGCAGCCACTGGGGTCCTCTTTGTGTGGATTGAAGGTCTGTGGGGCACCCTTTGAGATACTGGAGAGAGGGAAGGCTGAGCACCATCAGAAGAAGAAAGCATTGTGCTTGCCCTGTTAGCAGTGCAGAAGCGGACAGCTCCCCTAAGTGAGAGCCTGGGACAGGTCACTGTTCTTTGCTCATTGTGAGTCCGCACTCTCCATCCTACCACGACCTGACTCAGGGGCCTTGGTCATGCAGAGGTCTGCTATCTCTTAGCCTCCCATTCCTGATGGCTTGGAAGATGGGCGCTTCCCCACCAGCACTCAAGTGTCCTTGAGGGCAAGCAACAGGAGACCAACTCTGGCTCTTTGGGGAATAAGGGATACTAATTTGAAGGCTGCAAAGCAGCTCAGAGTAGAGAAGGAAAAAACAGAAAAGCAGGCAGCAAACAAACAAACAAACCTCAAGGACCAATGAGCAAGCTTTTCTGGCTGCCTCTTCTCTCATCATTTAAGAGGCAGCTGTGGGACTTCTTGAAAACATCTCTGACTCCATCCCTCCCTGCCTCTTATATGAATAAGTATTTCCCCTTTGAGGGGAAGTATCTTGTCTTGTTCACCTGAATAATACCAGAGCTTAGCATGATCTGATGCATAGGGGTGGGTACTAAAGGAATATTAAATGTGTGGATTGGCCTGGCCTCTATTCTGCAGAAAGTATTGGACATTGATTTGGGCACCCTGGGGTTCCGTCCTCCAGATGCCTTTTTCTAGTTGGATAGCTCTAGCCTCAGTTTCCTTATTTTGTTCCTGTCTGGGAGAGACATTGCAGAAATGTCATGAGATAGTGCTGCATGAGGGCCAGTATACAGCAGATGCTCCATAGGCGGTGACGGCTGGCACTTTCCTGTGCTGTGTCTTCAGCACCCACAGTTCACTTAGGGGAAGAGAGGACCACCCCTCTTTTTGCACCTGGGGCCGTGGAGACCCAGGGAGGTTTAAGAACTTGTACTTGTGTTGCTAAGCACATTCATGAGTGCGCTTGGATTTGTGCGAGGCTGTGTAACCCCAGAGCCAGCTTCCCTGCTGTCAGTCAGTGTGTGCCAGTTGTTTGTTTTCCCAGCTTGTGTATAGAATGCACTTGGTTTCTGGGTTTGGGAGAGCTTGGCCCATCCTGCCATGTTTCCCCATTCCTTCTGTATGGGTGAACTCTAGCTACCCTAGAAACGGAAAGTAGGGAGGAGTCTCGGGCAGTGCCAATGACAGCAGTGGCTGTCCACCTTCTCAGATGGCAGGTGGCCCAGAGCTTCCTGGACTGAAGGTGGCTAACAGGCTGAAGGAGAGCTTGCCATGCTGTCAGCGTAGAACACGTGATCACTGCTGATACCAGGGGCCCTGTAATCTCATTTGGTCTATTTCAGGAAACAGTCAAGTGGATGAGAAAACCCTTGGCTTCTTGGTGTAGCCTTTAAAGAGAGTCTTGGGATGGGATGTCTAAACATTCAGGCCTAGGGTTTTAAGTAGGATTTTAGGGAGAGAATTTTGCTTTTTACATTGAGGATATGCGAACACAGAGGTGAATCAAAGCAAAGAGCCACAGAAGGGAAACCACTGAATGTACTAGTGGTGGGATGTGGGCACCAATAAGAGACAGTGGTGGGTCCCATGAACAGTGAAAGGGAGTCTACATCTAGCCACAGCTATGCACTGGTAGTTAATGCCAGGGGTGTGAGTGGATCAAAATAGGTTGGGGTACTTGGCTCGAGATGCCTCGTCTTTCTCCTGAGATGCCAGGTGCTTTTCACCTTCAAGGAGCACCCCTGGCTTATGAGGCCAGAGGGCCAGGCTGAGAATGAGGCTTAGAGGTTCCTTAGCAGCTCTGGATTTGTTGATGGTACTTAGTTGGCTTTGGCGCTTGGATAGCTGTGAGAGTGGGTGAAAGGGTGTGTTTTCTTTCCCGATGTCCCTGGCTGCCCTCCTGCCTTTGTCATGCTGGTTTTCCCTTTGTGTTGCTCCCAGACCAGCCTCTAAGATCTACCAGGCTGGAAGCAAGAGTACAAACAGAACCTGCGTTACATCATCCAAAGTTGTAAATCAGCTTATAACACGTTACTAAAATAGGCATCCTCCTGCCATCTGATAAAAGAACCTGGAAGCACGTCATATGGGAAGCCAGCCCTGTCCTCAGTCCTATCTCCTCTCTGGATCTGTTTTACTCCAATGTGTCAACACGCCATCCAGAGCCCCTCAAACAGCTGGCGTGTATTCTATTTCATTTCTCAGTGTTTATACTCAGCATGCTTACTGCCCAGTTTATGAATGATGGTCCGCGCATACATTATTATGTAGTGAAAGATAAGTACAACAAAAAAGGTAGAGATTAAGTGCTGGAGGGAAGGTTGAGCTGGAATCTGCTAAAATCAGACTGTGTGCTTGGGTGGGCTGCAGTTTGGCATGAACTTAGGAGTGAGGATCTGGACACAGGCAGAGTTGTGCTTGAGGTAGGAGTGAGGTGAAGAATCTCAGTAGACTTTTAAGTGAGGAACCAAAGCATTCCCTGCTGAGCAGTGAGATCACCAGTCAGGCCCCTGTGTGAAGGAGGCGTGGCCTCACAGGAATGGGTTAGGGGGCTGTGACAATGATCAGGTACTCATCTGTCTTGTAGGAGTTGATGTTCTACAGTGGATCATTCAGCGGCTGTGGATTTCTAATCTGGGTGAGTTCATCTTGCACTTGGTTATGGCTGACTGCCATGTGTTCAGCACCCCAGGAAAAACTGAAAGGAAGCTTCGCCTGTGACCCTAAAACAAATGCGTTTTAATTTCAGAGACAGGAGTTTCATGCCTAAAACAAACCAAAGGCAAAGGCATGATAATCTGGGGACAAATGCTAATTTTATACAAAATATTGAGAGTATGTAGGCAGCAGAAAATTGAGAAAGATTCAACCATGAGAGACATCTCAGAGGGGTGCAGTGTACACCTGGTCTGGAACAGGGTGCTACTGTTGACTTAGAAGAGGGGAGCATGGAAAGCCTCCCTGGAGGGGGCACTAGCAGAAGCAAAGGAATGAACAGGAAGTGGAAGGCAGTGAGGGAAAGCCGGGAGAAATGCCAGTGGTGGCCAGATTCATGAGAGGAAGTCATTGGCAACTTTTGAGGCTGGAAATATGTCTCATACTGTGAGTTTAAACTATATTGATGGGTAGCAACTTGAAGGGTGGATTAGAGCAGAAAAAGCAGATGTCACAGTAGAGAAAAGGCTGTTGGTACAACAAGGCATAAAAGCAAGAGTCCAATCTGTGCTGGACGAAGCAGGGCTTGCAGACAGAAGTGAGTGTTGGGAGGAAATCTTCCTCAGCCTCGGGGGATGGGCTGGGTGTGAGTCAGAGCCCCTGCACAGAGTGGTCCTGGAAGCCTGAAGAGATGGACTCTCCTCTGAATGATGGAAAGTGCCTGCTTCCATGGGCGCTTCTGAGAAAGAACAGGAAAGGTGTCCTCTAATTGTTTCAAATCCAGAAACAAGGTTTAGTTTTCATACAAATTGGGGAGTGAGATGGGAATTAAAGTGTGGTGGATTGGGTAGAAGGATCTGGACACAGGCAGAGTTGTGTTTGAGGTAGCTGACAGTAAGCTACCTTTTTCTTTGAGAGAGGAAGTGTTGGTCAAGCAGAGACATTTTCTAACCATTCTTGTGGTCTTTTCTAGAGTCAAAGAGCTTGTAGATGCTTATCCAGGGCTTCCATAGGCAGCACCCTCAATTCATCTGTAGTGGGCTATGTGTGATACCTGTTAGTGTTCAGGTTCCCTGGTTCTCATCTAGACTTGCTGGGTTGTCCCTTCTGGGGTGTCACCCTTGTGGCATGGTTCCCAACTAATGCATGTTCACAGTCATGTTAAGGAACTACAGTCCCTCCCCTCAGAGAATGCGACACTCTTCTGAAGTTTGAAATGCTGTGTGGCCCAGGAAATGAGATTTTCCTTTTATCTGTTGCTCTTATCAACTGTGTCTGAATGCTTCTCCCCAGAGGCACAGAACCTGGGCAACTTCATTGTTAAGTATGGCTACATTTATCCTCTGCAAGACCCCAAGAATCTTGTTCTCAAGCCTGACAGCAGCCTCTACCGGTTTCAGGTGAGTTTCAACCTGAACTTTGGGTGTTAAGATGGGCTTGATCTTTTTGAGAAGATAATTGGTAATGGTGGAGGGAATAAAGGAGGTTTTATCTGTCTGTCCCAACACTGGGAGTCCATGGGGGTGCACTCCAGTGGTTAAGTATGCTCTCCATGTTTTCATTTTTAGACACCATATTTCTGGCCCACCCAGCAGTGGCCAGCTGAAGATACGGATTACGGTAAATATCTCACCCCCAACTATGGCTTTGGTCTTGGCATGCTGCTTATTTACTTGGTGTATTTTGGTGACATTTGTTTTGTTGTCATCACGACCTTTATGTCAGCTCACATCTGTACTGGGAGTGTTCCCTGGGGGCAGGGACTGGGTCGGACAAGCATCCTGTCTGGTACTCAGAGCAGGGCAGCCTCATGCAGAGAGAGGCTGCCGCGGGCTTTTGAAACCTGACGATGATGGAAAATGTCATTGCTTTCTTTTCCAGCCATCTATCTAGCCAAGAGAAATATCAAGAAGAAAGGGATTTTAGAAGAATATGAAAAGGTACAGAGCTTATTTAGTTGAGTGCAATGTAATTGTGAAGTGTGCTTTCCCTCTCTTTCATACAGTATTTTATTTATCTGCATTCAGCCATCCAACCGCCTACCCATTCGCTTATTTATTTAGAAACGGCCCATGGAAGTAGAGTTTTCCTTCCCCGTGTTTAGCTTCAGTGTTCTCTGCTGAAATTCAGTAGTTTTGGTCACACAGTAACTCTCCATTGTGTTTACTGTCCTAAAACAATTATAATAAATATAATTTATTAATAAATGCAATAACAAAGACAGCACTTGATTAATGTATTTAAACTTAAGCTTATGGCACAAAAACAATAAGATAGACTTCTGTTTTAGGGTGAGTGAATCAGATTTCCCAAAGAATGCACCCTGACCCTCCAAAGGCTAACATTTCTGCAGAAGGAAATAATCTTGCTGTGTTGCAATTATTTAGAAACATATTTTTAGAGCCAGGTATGAAGGCACATGCCTGTAACCCCAGCTACTCAGAAGGCTGAGGCATGAAGATGACAAGTTTAAGGCCACTCTGGGTGACTCAGTGAGACCCTATCTGAAGAAAAGGGGTGGAGGTAGAGAACCTCTCTAACACACATGCAGCCCAAGGTTCAATCACTAGAAACTATCACACATGCACACATGTGCACACGTGCACACCACACACACACAAAAAGAAAAACATGCTTTTAGAAGGGCAAACATCACACTACTGTGTCAATGTTGAGGCTTATCTTTGTGGATTTTTGATGCTCCATTGTTGAATATTGAGTTTCCATATTCTTTCCCATCTGCAGTCCTCTCTTCCTAATCAGATTTGAGATGCATTTATTTCAAACAGAATAAACCACAATAAGAAGATGTGCTGTGAAAGCTATTGAGAATTTCAGGCAACCCCGGAATGAACCCATGGGACAGTGGAACAGAGGGGCCTGAGCTGTGGCTGCAGCTGAGGGGAGCAGGCACCTGCCCCCAGTGGCTTAAGGCGTTTTGCTCAGATACATGTGTCTTGTGACATGGGTTTATGTTCTCATTTTGTTTTCCTTTTCTAGGAAAATTATAATTTCTTGAACAAAAAAATTAACTACAAATGGGACTTTGTCATTATGCAGGCCAAAGAGCAGTACAGGTGAGTGAAAGAAGGTCACACCTGCCCTCCAGCTGTCCTTTCTCCTTTCTTCCCCCTTTGTTTTCTTTTAATGAAAATAAATCTTTGTTGGTCATTTCGGAGCCAAACACAAGGCATGGCACACAGAGTGAAAGGATGCAGTCCATTGTGTCAGGCAGCTGGGGACCAGGTTGTGATGCTGCTGCCGTGTGACTAAGTGCCATTGGCAAGGGTTTGCAGAGCCAGCTGTGGGAATGACCTTGAACCTGGTAGCTATGTGGGAGGAATTCAGGTGAAAGGATGTTGATGGTGGCAAGCATGGAGAGGGAGTGGGAGGAAGGATGTTCTAAGCACAGAGAACCAGCGTGTGGAGCCAGCAGAGTACGTGCTGCAAGCACTTGCTGTAACTGGAACAGAGTGCAAAGCGTGCAAAGAGCAGAAGGTAGCAAGATGTTTGCTGGAGATGTTAGCAACAGCAGATCTCAAGAGGGCTTTGTCCTGAGAGGGACTGGCCAGGAGTGAGCGATAGTCAGATCTGCATGCTGGAATCTACCTTGCTTGCACTTTTTCATTGTCTACGTCAGAATCAGATCTGAAAGTCCTCTGGAGGGTTCTGCCTCATCCATGAGACCTGGATGTAAATGGTGGGGATGGTGAGTGGTGGGGAGAGTGTACTCGTCAGTTTGAGGCTTGATAACAAACATAACCCAGCTCTGAGGTGCCTGTGTGAATTAAAGCAATCCCTTTACCAGTGCTCACAGATCACTTGGCAAAGCAGGGCATATGGTTATGCTCAACTTCAGAAGGTGGTGAGTGGAGCTGTCCATCCTTTCCAGGGGCCTGAGCCAAGGTGACCTGTATTCGCAATGCTCAAAACAGGTGATTTCAGCTCACCCAGCGTCCTCATCCTAACAGATGCAGACCGGGAAGGGCTAGACTTTCCTGTGAATGGCCGGGCTGGTTGGTAGAGACTGGCATCAATGTCATTCTCAAGATGCAGCCTAGGAATGGGAGCAGTGATGAGCAATGTTATATCCGAGTGCTGGTCCAGGAAAAAGAAGCTGGCAGCTTGGCTTTGTCCCACCCCCGACTCCTGAGGGTATTAATGGGAGAGTTGTTTTTGCTGCCCTTTAGCCACAAACCTGTCACTCCCTGGGTACACTGGAGACAAAGCAGCATAGGGTAGCTATCTAATCTGTCATCCTTATATTTGCCTACAAAGCTTCCTTCAGTGAGTTCTAGGTGTTACCTCATTTTGTGTTGGTGTAGAGGGAATCCTGAGGGTGGCCGTAATTGCCACCCCTACAGGTAGAGAAAACTGAGGCTGAGAGAGATTTTTGGCTAAGAGCACCAGAATATCTTAACTCCATCTAGGGCACTGGTGCTGCATTCCTAGTGGCTTCCAGGACTGGGCTGGGCCTCAGGGACACAGAAGGAGATGTGCTCATCTATGTCGCCCCTCCAGGCCCTCCGTCTCTTCTCTGCTCTGAGCAGGATGATCCCAGCCACCTACAGGAGCGTGAGCTCTGATTTAAGCCTTCCAGACTCATGGGACATTTTCTTCCTGCATTCAGTTCTAGGTGCCATAGGATGAGCTGTTCCTAAAAGTCTCCCTTTCCACTAAATCTTTGGCTTAACTTGAAGGCTGCCTTTGATCTCGGATTTAGGGTCTCACCACAGAGTAAGTGAGCCATGTGTATTGGCTCATGAGGTTGTTTTTTGTTATGCAGAGCCTTTATTTGAGTTCCATACTTAGCACCCCGCTACCTACTCACGATATCAGTTGATGTCATCCTTCAAATCTAACTTGTACGTCTTTGAATGCATCTTTCCCTCACTCTCCAAGCCTCCTCATCCAAGATTATCTGTCAATATAATCCACCCCACCCTCATTGATAGTCTGGTTGTTTGGTTTTGCTGCTGCATCTTAGAGTCTCTTCTGCTAAGTATGACACTTGTATACCTTCACTGCGCCTTCCTGTTGGAAGAACCAGCCTTGAAATCTACTGAACAGTAATGTCCTCCCAGCTGCCTCTCTGCTCTGTTGTACTCCTTGGTTTTTTTGTTTGTACTAGGGATTGAACTCATGATCTTGTGCTTGCCCTGCAGGTGCTTATGCCACTGAGCTAAATCCCCAGCCCTTTACTCCTGTTTTTGAAACACAGATAGAATCCTGTCACTCAGCCTTCTCCAACCTATCAGAAAAGTCGTTCACTTCAAATGTCACTTCCTCCAAAAGGCTTTTCTGATTAGCTGTTTTTGCACTCAAATCATCCTAAACCTAGTGGCTCAAAACAGAAACAACCGTTTTCTTACCTGTCATGATTCCATAGGGGTGGAATTTGGAGAGGGTTTGACCAGGCAGTTCTGATCCAGAACTTCTCAAGAGTTGCAGTGAGGAGGTGGGAGGCTGGGTTGCCAGGAACATCTGGCCTCTGCAACCTTCCAGTAGCTCCTGGGCTGGCCACGTGGTCTGGCTTGAGCTTCCTCACAGCATGGTTGCTTGTAGGTGGTAGAGGCTTCTAGAACATATGTGCTAGTGAGTAAACCTGGCAACTTTCTGGCCTCAGAAATCACACGGTGCTGTGCCTTACATACTGTGTAAGTCAGAGCCATCACCAGTCCCACCTAGCTTCAGGGGAGGGGGGAAACACCCTTCTGCTATCTCCTCGTAGCACCCAATGCATTTTGTGATTCTATTATTTATTTCTTGACTATTTATAGAATGTTTAGACCAAAACCTACTCAAAGGTCAAGACTATGTGTTTAGTTCATCAATATGCTCCCGTTAGCTGGAGCATAGAGGAAGGTTAATAAATATATGGGTGAGTGAATGAAAGAATGAATGAACAAATAGATGACCAACTAAAATGACTCTTAGTTTACTGGCTGTCCTAGATTCCATCTATCATGACTGCCCTCCATGAATCTGCATCACAGAGAGGCAGATGCACAAAACCAGAAAGGATCATGCGCTCAGTTAAAGACTATTTACAAGGCTGGTGTGCACTATAGGGACCCACAGTGCCTCCTCTGTTTGTGGTCTGTGCTCCAGAGGACACGAGCTAGTTAACCTGGTTAAAAAAAAATCCAGTTAGGTTGTCAAGGAGAAGCAAGAGCGGTGGTGTTTATTCTTCAGTTCCGGAGGTTGGCAAAACACCCGGATGGAGGCACTGCTCACCCATCTGGCTCTCTGGATGTTATTGTGTCATTCACAGTACATTAACGAGGAAATAAATCCACAGCATGTCGTGGGGAGGGCTTGTGCGTCATCTCATGTTGCCTGGGAAGACAAGCGCTAATGAATGTGTGTGCAGCTCACTGTGGAAGTGGGCCTGAGTGGGGCCCCGGTGTGCTCATTACTGTTCTCTCACTCCTGGAGGAGGAAAGCCCAACGAGGGAAGCAGCCTTTCACAATCCCAAATTGAGCTTAGAAAAAGCCCTGATTCGGTGGGCGCTCTGTGGGGGGAGAGAAGCGTCAGGTGACGAGTGAGGAGGAGGAAGCAGCTGAGACCAGCGTTGCCCTCATGAGCTCTGCCATTGCGTGCTGCCTGCCTGTCCAGAGGTCAATAATGTCCTTTACCAAAGTGGGAAACAGCAAGAAATAAGGGTCAAATGTCGACCCAGCAGGATGTCCCTGATGGTTCCTTTGGGGAAACTTGCAAAGCTGATCCCAGGTCCCAGGGGCCAGCATCCCAGGTTCAAGTCTTACCTCTGCCTCGTGCTGGCTATATGGAACTAGCAGGGGATTTATCCCTTCTTTCCTCAGTTCCCTGAACTGTGAAGCCAGAAGAGACCACTGAGAAGACAAACCAGGATGAAATGAATGAATGCATGTGAAAGTAGCTAGAATGGTACCTAATGTATAAGTGTGGTATTGATATTTGCTGCTTATTATTACAGCGCCTGTGAATTAATTAGGCATATGAGTGGTGCAGGTCATCAAGAATGGGGATGATTCTGGAAAGATGCAAAATATCACTGTCCTTCAGCATGGATTTTGGTTTTTCAGGACTGGGAAAGAAAGGAACAAGGCTGACAGGTATGCGCTGGATTGCCAGGAGAAGGCGTACTGGCTAGTGCACCGGTGCCCTGTGAGTACCCTCTGCCCTGGGCTCCCCTATCTCTTCCTGGGCTCCCCATGCCCTCTCTGTGCTCACCATGACTGCCGGGAGCTCCTTTCCTGTTAGGGTTTGAATTGTATCTGCAGAAGAAGCTGCTGAGCATTGGCTAAACGTACAGCTGGAAGAGGACACACATTGTGTCTGGGTGGGTCTCTCTCAGCCCATTGTTTGTGTCAGGTAATGAGGTACCTGAACAAGTTTGTCTCTTATAAGGGCTAAGACTGTTGTTGTTGTTCAAGATACTACACCTGGGGAAAGGGATATAAGAAGAAAAAACTAGGAAAATTAGAATATAGATCCTAGAGCAGAAAAATAAAACGTAGAGCACAGAGACTCTCCATGGCCAAAGCCATCTTGTGTCTCTGGCTCCTTCTTTTCCTCCCTTGGATTCGATTCCCAGCAGCTGAGCTGGGAGGAGGAGAGAAGGTGTCAGTGTGTGCTAAGCTTCTTGTCACTTGGAGCATATTGCTTCTCTGGCTTTGGGCCTTTCAGTGGCTCAAAGAGACAAGCTGTCCATAGCTGATCGAACTCGCCCCAGCTCATCACTGGGAACTTAGAGCCTCATCCTCCAGCCCAGGGAAGCCGCCGCTGACTGTTACCTCAGTTCCCTCCTACTTCAAGTTCCCGTGCTGCCCCTGGATCATGGGAGGCAGGAGATGTGAAAGAGATTCTGGAAATCGAAGAGTTTGAAATAAATGTTCTCCCTCCTTTAGTGTCCTGGTCCAGAACTGGAGAGTGAGTTGGGTCAGGCATGGTGCCTAAATGTAAGGGTTTTTGAATTTCCATCCCCATCCTATTTTAGCTCTTTTGCTTATTTTCTTTCTATATTTTAAATAGCTTCTCTTGAAGGTATTGCCTCTGTAGGGGATGGGTTTGGAGGCTGTGTTGTTGGGGTTGGTGCCCGGGTAGTTTGTTCGGTTTTTCTTTTTGTCAGGAGTCTTCCTCTGGAGAAATCAGTGGAGAGCTGGCACAGGTCCCTGGAGGCTGGATGTGGGTGACACAGCACACAGTCCTGGGCACACAGTTCAAAGCACATACCTCCCTGTAGGTAGGCTAGGCGTGAGGTCTTTGTGTGAATTGCATGTGCTCGTCAGATCCAGAAGAAGCACCCCTGGGTAAGGATAAGAGAAAATGGTGAGCATGCCACCCATTCGGCAAGGTTGCCCCATGCCCATGGATCCCATGACCACGGATCTCTGCTCCTTGCAGGGTAGAGAATGGCTTCCGTTGTACATGCAGAGACTCCAATGAGAATTGGAGAAAGTGAGAATGCCAATGCAACCATCTTCCTTGCAAAGTGACATAGGCTGGTTGTGTACATGATCTAGCCAGAGTCTCTCTCCTCCCTCTGTCCCTGAATCCAGGAAGCTTATAGGAAAGAAAATGAGTAATAGACCACCAGATTCCCCCCATTTCTCCTGGGGTAAGCTCTCAGTGCTCCCTCCAGCAGGTAGTTGGCTGAGTGACTCTTCACGGCACAATGCAGAGGATATATATATGGCAGTGTGTCTGACTATCTGTCCCCTCCTCCTCCATCTCTGCCACGATGACCTTAGTATGACCTCCATCTCCACACCTCAATGATCCCCCACTGTATGCACCTCTGCTACCTCCATCCCCACTGTCATCACGATTGTTGTTGTTACTGTTCTCTTCCTGGTGGAACTCATGGTGGACTGAGAAGCACGCTAAGTTCTCAGCATGCGCTACCCTATTTCCTCTTCTCAGCCTGTGTGGAAGTCAAGGTTACCATTCTCATCTTAAGCTGAGGCTCAATGATGTCACTGTTACACAGCCCTCCGCTACACAGCCTGTAAGTGACAGAGGCCCGGAACCCATACAGAGCTGACTGTGGAGCCCTTCCCTCTTGTGCCCTTTCACCTCTCATGACAATGGCCCTGATAACTTAGTGCATTTCCATGTTTCTGTAACCTCCTTGGGCATTGCCCAAGTCACTGCTGTCCCAGCAAACATAACACGTGGGTTTGTACATCCCTGGCCCCTCTTTGATAACAGGAAGAACCCATATTCCAAGCTGGGCTGTGATATGTACAGAGCAACACTAAACTCCTAGAATACATAGCTGCTCTTCACATCTGATCTTTCTTGCTGCAGCTCTCCCCAGGGGAAACCAGACCAGTGTAATCCCAGCTAGTGGGGAGGTTGGGGCAGGAGGATCAGAAGTTCGAAACCCATCTGGGCAACTTAGCAAGACCCTATTGCCAAAATGTGTGTGTGTGTGTGTGTGTGTGTGTGTGTGTGTGTGTGTGTGTTACTGGGGATTGAACCCAGGGCCTTTGCACTAAGCTACATCCTCATCCCTTTTTCTTTTTCTTTTTTTTTCTTTTTCTCCTCCTCCTCCTCCTCCTCCTCCTCATTCTCCTCCACCTCCTCCTCCTCATCCTCCTTTTTCTTTTTCTTTGAGACATGGTCTTTCTAAGTTGATAAGTTGCCAGGCAGGGGGCTTGAATTTTCTTTCTTCCTATCTGAGCCTCCCAGAGTACTAGGATAGCAGGTGTGCATCACCATGCCCTGCTTCAAAAGAAAAAAAAAAAAAACTTAAAAAACAGTCAGGAGGTAGCTCAGTGGTAGAGTACTCAACAAGCATGTACAGGCCCTTGTTTCAATCCTTAATACTGCAAAAAAAAAAAAAAAAGAAGGAAAAAAAAAAGAGGTCACAATTCATCTGGATCTCCCCCTCAAATCCCTTAAAATATTCTCCACTTCTTTTGTTTGCTTGCGCAGGGCAGACAGTCAGGAGCATCTTAACCAAGAACGGAGCAATCTGTCTGACAAGCTCAGAGTGCCTGGGAGCCTACAGACTGTCAGATTGTCTCTGGAAGACCCAAACAAACCATCAGTGCAGGAGGGAAAAAAGCAGTCATGGCAAACCAAGCATCCGCCTGTATGGGTGCCCGGCAGCCACTCTGTGCCCTGAGTGTGGCCACCTGTCAGAGTGTGATGATTCCTTCTCCTGCTCATTTGTGCATTCATTCATCTATGAAACCCTTATCCCTTGCAGGACGAGGAGTTAGGTGCTGGACACAAAATGCCAGCTAGAAGTCACTGAGTAGTTACTGTGTACACATGTGAAGCTTTTGGCACAGATGGGTTCATTTGCACCTGACAACATGCCATGGAATAGGGAGTGTCATCACCCCATTGCTCAGAAGGAGAAATCAAGGCTCAGAGAGTTCAGCCCACTCAGTGCTGGGATGTGAATCCACATCTGCATGATGACTAAGCCTGCAGGCTGCTCCTCTGCAAGGAGTATGTCTCCTTTGTCAGCTCAATTAGCTCAAAATCCAAATTGCCTGACACAGGAGAGTAGCACTCCCCCAAGGTGAAGCCCAAGTACAGAGAAGGCTCAGTGAATAGTGATTGATTTAGGTTGCAGTGGGTGGGCGAGATGCCACATGAGGTTAACAGCGTTGGCAGAAGCCAAGATCGGACCTGGGTGGTGGTCTGACCCCAATTCCATCCAGAGCCTATCTGTGATCCAGCCTCCTCTGGTGAAGGAAAATGATGTTCCTTTTTTGTGTTTCACCCAAAGGGGTGATGCAAATAGTACAGTGTAAAGGAACATGGGGACAGGTGGTTCCGTTGGCAAGTCATTTTGGGACCTTCCCTGCATCTTTGCTGTACCACCTGTGACTTGGTGTCTTGCAAGGGTGTGGTCCATGGCTGGATCCCGGCTTTGTGGGTAGAGGCCACCTTCTGGCAGTGCACCCTAAATCAGATGATCAAGTGTCTGATTAATAAGCCAAATGGCCCTTGTTTCAACCATATGTATAGACACTCATTCTGGGACAAGGAGATGTCTGTCTTCCATTTCTTGCCAGGGCTGCACTAAATGCTTCAGGACAGAGAATGGCAACATACATTAAAGCACACCCTATGTGATGGAACACTGTGCAACTGTTCAAATGAAATTTTCAAAGGCCATTTATTGACCAGAAAAATAGTGTGACATATACACAGTAGAGAACAGTCCATATAATCCGATTCAAATAAAAAATCAACATATGTTTTGTGACTGTCTAAGCATATATGCCAAATGCTTAGTAGGCAATGGAGGATATTTGGATTATGATTTAAGAGAATTGTGGGGGCTGGGGATTTAGCTCAGCGGCACAAGCACCTGCCTTGCAAGCAGGCCGTCGTGAGTTTGATCCCTGGTACCGATAAAAAAAAAAGAGAGAGAGAATCGTAGTCTGTGACCTTAAGCACCTATTACAATCTGGTGGAGACACAAAGACTGTTACATGAACAAATAAGCAGTGTACAAGATGCTATGGCAGCTTGTAGGAGACAGATGTTCTGAAGATTAGATTTGAAAGTGGTCAGGGGCCACATCTCTGTGGAAGTGATGTTCAAGCCAAGACATGCATGAAGCCAGCTTCTCACCCTCTCACCCAAAATTGTTTCCCTGTTAGTTTTGATTCTCCCCTCCCCTCCCCCTCTCCTCCCCCCTCCCCTCCCCCTCTCCTCCCCCCTCCCCTCCCCCTCTCCTCCCCCCTCCCCTCCCTTCTCCTCTCCTCTCCTCCCCCCCTCCCCTCCCCCTCTCCTCCCCCCTCCCCTCTCTTCTCCTCTCCTCCCCTCCCCTCCCGTCTCCCTTCCCCTCTCCTCTCCCCTCCTTTCCTCCTCTCCCCTCCCTTCCTCCTCTCTCCTTTTCTCTCTCCTCTCCTCTCCCTTCTTTTCTCTTCCTTTCCATTTCCCTTCCTCTTTTTTCTCTTCCTCGCCCTCTTCTTTCTCTCTTCTGTTTTCCTATCCCTTCCTCTACCTCTGTCCCCCCTCCTCTCCTCCCTCTCTTTCCCTTATTTTGTTTATAAGACAATTTAGTGCTTTATTTGTCTCTTCTGTCCCTTGCATCAAAAGGGTCCGATGCTTTAGGAGACAGAGTGAGGACCAGCACAGTAGAGAGGAGACAGGAGTGATGAGGCACAGGCTTACCTGGTGGTCCTGCACTGCCACTGTTCTGGAGCACTGACTCCTGGGAATGTCACCTCCTCCCAAAGCAACTGTTGCAAGTACATGAGGTCTTCCCCAACATGAGCCACCGGGCATTTAGCAAAGTGCTTTCTGTTCATACTCAGAGGATTTGATTTGGGCATCATACTCTGATCGATGTGGGGAAGCTCCCAAGACTCTGGAGGACTTCCTGCTCCCTATTTCAGGGGCACGTCAGTCACCCTTATTTCCTGGGCACTGACAGTCAGCTCTTCAATGGAGCACCCTCTTGTGTGCTAAACTACATCAGCATTGGTTCTGAACACTGTCACCATGGACCAAGAACTGAGTTGCCTGAAGGATAAAAGAATGAATGAGTGACCCGGGATTCTCCCAAAGCAGCAGAGGTAGAAAGGCATTAAGGGAGTGAGCTAAGGCAGGGCGCCAGGTAGGGCGCCAGGTAGGACCCCAGCTCCCACAGGAACAACTGAGACTTAGTGGCCTGCCGCCCACAGAGAGGCTCGAGGAAGGCAGGAGCTGGAGGAGCACGGTAGCCAGAGGGTTGGACCTGGTTGTCTCTGAGAGCTGGTGAGAGAAGCTAGGGTGGGCAGAGGCTAACCAGATGGAATAATAAAGTCCAGGGGTGGAGGTAGCTGCGGGTCTGGACAATCCAAGGCCGAGCCGTTGGGGAATGTTCCTGTGCTGATTTCAGTTATGCAGGCAGATAGCTGAGTTCCAGGGCAGAATTTATGTGGAGTAGGGGGCGAGTTCAAAGGAAGAAATGGGCGACTAATTCTGGTGACTTTCCTCAGACCTCTGGGGCTGAGTACTGTGTCCAGCACGTAAGAATAGCCACATGGACATTTGTTGATGGAGGTTCCCAGGGAACAGTTAGGGTAAAGGTGAGGGCTCCCTTTCTCTGCCTTCTCTCTCTCTCTCTCTCTCTCTCTCTCTCTCTCTGGTCTTGCTATGCAGCCCAGGCTGGTCTTGAACTCACAGCAGTTCGTCTGCCTTTGCCTCCTGAGTGCTGGGATTATAGGCGTGCTGACTACCATGTCCGACCTGCCCACTCACTATTTTCCTCTTTTTTCCCTTCCTTGACTGGCCCGTAGGTCCAGTATTTGCCCTCCTAGTAGCCTATTGATCCACATTACTAGATCTAGCAAATTAAACATGGGGTGTCATATTTGAATTTCAGATGAAAAGTAGTTTTATATAAAGTATATTTTATATTAATATTTTGTATTTGTAGTAAGTATGAAAATACTGAGGCAGCCTTTCCTGTCTACCTGTCATCCACTGGAATCCCAGGTTCGGTTCTAGCTGTCCCACTCTGAGCTAAATGTGTTCCAGTCCCATTGATGAGGCTGAATCTGGCGGAGAGAAAGTGAGGTGCTTCTCAGCTTTCTCCTCCAGTGCAGTCAGCTGGGTTAGCACGAGGTGCGAAGTCTTTGGTGGGTATCTTGCTCTGCAGAAGGAAGTGAAAGACCTCAATTGCTGGCTTCAAGAAGTTGGGAGAGACCAAGTGTGACTGGCCTGAGAGTGGGGTTACCCCATGTGGAGAGGGGAGCTGATGAAAGCTTAGCTCATACCTGCACACTGCGTGACCTTGAAATGACCCTTGCAGAGAAGCAGCAGAACCAGGATTGGAAACTAGAGTTGCCTGGCTTGAGTCTAGCATCTCCCAAAACACTGCTATGTTACTCCTCTAAAAAGAATCCAAGACAAAGACTTCAGAGTGTGCGGGAAAGAACATTGTGGGAGGAGCCAGCCGATCCACATATCAATCATGTAAAATTCAATCGAGCTCGGTCATCCAGGCATCCATCCATCCATCCATCCATCCACCCATCCATCACTGTGATGTAGAGACGTCATCCATTTGTTCACCATCAACCAGTCTTTCTATCCTCCTGTATTCCCTCCCACCCACCCACACACATGACCCCTTATCCTTTTGTCCCGCTCTTAGGTTCTGGGAAGATTTGGTGGCAAAACAGCTCCCATGAAGCTCCTCAACTCCTCTGGAGGGTTTATACATCTTTCTGTCTCCTCATGAGCTGGGCTACAAGTCCTGCTCAGCCCAGTCTCACGGTCAGCATCTTGGGGAAGACCTAAAGTTAATCAGAAAGTGGATGCCCCTGTAATGACCTGTACTGCTTTTCTTCCACTCAGCCAGGAATGAACAACGTGCTGGACTACGGCCTGGACCGTGTGACCGATCCGAATGAAGTGAAGGTAAACCAGGTATGCGTGCAAGCCGGATTCTGAGTCTGCAAATGTGGCCATGTGTCCGCTGTGTCCCCTGGGGCAACACTTTCTCCCCTTGGAGATGCTACACACAGACACACCTTGGTTCTGTGCTGTCAGGGTCTGGGAGAAGGGAGGCCATGGCCAAGGGCCTGGGTAAAGAGACCTTGCTCATCACTGTAGGGAGAGGGAGCATACAGTTTGGCAGCGATAGGTAGCATTGACGTGCTTGGTCTTCAGCCTTTTCTGAGTCACTTCCTTCTTGAGAATCTGATGAAAATTATGAGCCCATCCAACCTAAAGGTGCACAGATATTTTACACATAACTTCAGCTGGTTTCTTGAACCTGGTAAGATGATGGCCCCACACTTAAAACCTTTGAATCAATGTTGATTTAAACATTAATCCATACCACAAATACTATAATAGCACAATTTCTTTCATATTTCAGTGGGGGATTTTTTTAAGGATTCATAGACAGTTTTAATTAAAATGAAACTCTTTCCACAAATAAGTCACCTTTCATAGTGTTTACTTCTTATAGGGTTTTTTTCTCCTTAAAGAAATGCATTTTACAAGCTGTTGAAACATGTCACTAATAACATTTTTGACCAGATAGCTCTTCAGCAGGTTGTGTTGGCAGTGTAGGGTAACTGGCGGCATCTCTAGCTGCTACCCATTAGATGTCTGTTCTTCTCCTTCCTCTTTCCTAGCTGTGACAATCAAAAATTCTCGAGACACTGCCTCCTCTACCTTGAGGAGGGAGTCAAAATTGCCCAGGAGAGAAAGAACTGATTCCAGTAATCTCAGCTAAAATCCATTTAAACTCGTCTTGGGGAATGGTCGTTGGTCTCCTTCCAAATTGTTTTGGGGCAGCAAGTGCCTGTCACATCTAGTGTGTCTCTGCAAGGCGCAGCTGTGCTTTAAGTCAAGAGTGGGAGTCTGGAGAAGTGTGCTGGGAAGGAGGAGACCACAGGGGAAGGAGAAAGAAGAGAAAGGGACAGGAAAAAGGTGGCCCTGGGACCTATTGAGATAGACACTGTCCCCAGAGAGTGTCACTAGGGTAATTGTTAGGTTCCTTGTCTATCAGTCAAGGTGACCGTTCCTTTGATGCACATGTGTTGTCATCAACCCTCCCAGGGCAGCCTTTCCATGTCCCCCTTGTCAGATAACAGATCGCTGCTGAGCCCTTGTAGGCTCAGTTGCCATAGAAACAGAATCATTGAGTAAAACAGAGAACCCCGGGTAGAAGATTTGTGCTTTTTTTTTTTTTTAAATGGATAACTGGCTGCTCTGGAAACCTCTTTTCTCTAGAGGAGGAGGGGGAGGGGGAGGCCAAAAGTGTCATTCACCCTGCCTTGGATAAGGAGTGGGGATTGAGGGGGTGCAGCTGTAACTGAGGCTCAACTACGCGGGGAGGGGAGAATGGGGTGACACCTTCACTTGAGCAATCTGGGGGCCAGGAACTGCACTGCTCTAGCTAAGCGTTCTGTTAACTGGGGAGTTCTGAGGAGCCCCAGTGGGCCTCACAGGGGAGCATCCTCCTGTTCTCCATGGTGTGGGAGGGAGGGGATGTCACAGCCCGCCTCCTGTCAGCTATGAGCAGACAGCAGTCCTGAGGGCAGGCTGCGAGTGCTCCTCACGCAGGGCTCACAGGGCTGTGCTGACCTTGCTGCTTACATCTCTCTCTCTTTCTCTCTCCCATCAGCTCTCTCTCTCTCCTGTCTGTGCACCGTGGCTGCTTGGAGTAGCAAGACTGAGCCCTGGGGTTCTCATGTTCCAGACCCCTCTGCAGCTTCAGCCGCCCCCTGCTGTCAGATCAGAGGTGCAGGGCTGGAGGCCGCGCTGTGCTCTGCCATTGGCAGCAGTGTCTGCCTTCTCAGTGTCCCTGCTTCCCAGTTACCTGCCCCGAGAGGAAAGGGTCATGGAAATGCTGAGTGTCTGCAGGAGGCCTTGGGAGTGCAGAGGCTGTGTGTTTGGTCTCAGTTCAGAGAAGAACTCCTGGGGCCTACGCTGGTTGGAAGAGAGAGAGAGAGAGAGAGAGAGAGGTCTTCCTCTGAGAATGAGTGAATTCCTGAAAAGCTGTGTTTTCCCTAAGCAGAGGCAAAAAGACCATCAAGCGTAATAAAGGAGGCTGCTAGGTTGGCCAATGTCCAGGTCTCTAGGCAACCCACTCCTTCAGGATGGTGATGGGCACTGGTTGGCAAGTCGGCCTTGCCCTGGGAGGATCTGGTCACAGGTCAGGGCCATGCACCATGGGCTATGCAGGAAGTGCATCCTCTCTCAGTTCTGAGGCTGCTAGCCTTATGGGGTGCAGTGTGTGCAGCTCCCCCTCCCTTTATTACAGAGGAAATTTGGACCCTCATTCAGGACCCTGATTACAGACCAGGCACCAGCAGATGCCCATGGCTGGCCCAATCCTCAGCCTCTCACCCCAGGAGATGCTGCTCACAATAGGGTTAACCACTGTCACTGAGTGATGAGGGACAGCACCGTGAGCTGAAGAGTGCTGACATCCATCGGATGGAACTCAGCTCTGCCACTCCCTGCCTGTGTGATCCTGGGCAGACTCATGAGCCGTTCAGATCTCAGTTTTCTCATCTATAAAATGGGAATAACAGGAGTTCCTTCCTCAGACAATTAAACAGGCTCATTAATGTTGGGTGTCTAGAAGAGTACCTAATAGGCGGAGAGATTCCCCAAATAGCAGTTGCTATTACAGCCATCCATATTTTGAGGTGTGGAGTCCTGCAAACCCTTGACTCGATTTTGGGGGCTGAACTTAGCCAGTTTCCTCTGTCATCATGCATTCCTGTACTATGCCTGGGAGTGGAGGGAGGGACATGCGTTCCAATTTCATCTGCTCTGCTGAGTCCAGTAGCCAGCTTCTGAGACAGACAGCCTGCATTGTTAGGCCCGCTGATCACTGAGCAAAAAGCAGAAGTATGTATCACACAATGTGCTTTGCAGAGCACTCAGCCCAGAGCCCTCAGTAGGCAAAGACCCCATGTACACACATCAATGGGGAGCAAACTGCTTTGCTTTCTCCTTGTGGTCCATTGTGCAGCCCTGACTGGCTGGGGAAAGGGCAGTTTTGCTGGTGGCTCATGCGCCAGGCATATGTGCACTGGCTAGGGGAAGATCACATCCGCCTTAGGAGGTGGGAATGCTGTGTGCCTCTCTGTCTCCTGGCTGAGGTCTTGGGAGTCAAGGTCCTGATTTCGCTCAGTACCACCCCTCACCACCATTTCCAGGCATAGATCCTGCTTGCAGGGTCCCTCTACAGACAGGTGAAGTGTGTAGGCTCTCACACCCCACACTCAGACGAGCCTGATTTAACAGTCTGTTGCTATCTTAAAATTCTCCATTTGGTTTGTCTGGAGAAAGGCCCAGCATTTTCATTTTGTCTTGGGCCCTGCAAATTTTCCTTTATGCTGTTAGGAAGTACCTGGCAGGACAGGTTTTGTTTCCAGTGATGGCGACTTGGGGTCCTTCTCTCCTGGGAAGGGGGCCTCTCTTCGAGTTTCCTGAGCGCTTTGGTTCATTATTTGGCTGGCGGGTTTCCTGGTTTCTGCTTTGGCCCCTCACTGTGCTCCCTGAAAATCTGCTGCAACTCCTGGTGTTTCTTCCCCGCCCCCCACCTTTTCGTCCACTTGTGTTTCTGTGCAGATTCCTGCCCAGCCACTTTATCCTGAGCCTGTCTTGCCCCTGGGCTTCCTCCCTCCTATCTGGCAGTGGCCTCAAGGTCACTCAGGCACGGCCCTGACCCCTCTTGCTCTGTGACAATTGTGCAGAGCCTGCATCTGGGAGGACGGCAGAGCTGTGTCAACAAGTTGAGCTCTGTCCCTATTTGGGCAAGTCTGCAAGTAAAAAAGTGTTAGAATTCCAGGAATGTGGGGCACTCAGAGATTCCTTAGGCAAAATATTCTCAGAGTGGCAAAGTTTAGCCCTGGGAGGAGGGATGGAGGTGGGCTGTGCTCCAGGAGGGCCGCTTCTGAGAAAGGAGGGGATTTGTGTGCAAATTCTAAGAGGACAACATGTTTCTGCCTGTTCTATCCTGAGATACTTTCTTTGAATTGTGTAGCATTGTGTGTAGGTGTGTGTACTTTTAGTAGCTTCATTTCAAAATTATGTTTCCTATGACCTCTGACTAAGTAATAATAATATTGATAGTAGGTTGGGAAGATTTAGCAAATAAAAACACAAGAGTCTCAGTTAAATTTGAATTTTAGATGAATGATGATAACATTTTAGTATATTCCAACTATTGCCTAGACTTAGTATTTTATCTGGTAATAAGGGCTACCATTATTCTGTGTATGTGTCATATACATGGCAGGATATTAACCCTAATCAATAGCTACTCTTTGTTGAGTCTCCACAATATGCTCTGGGAGTGAGTATCACCATATTATCTCTTTGATTATCTTCCCTTTGCCCCCATCTTTTTACAAACAAAAGTAAAGGCTCTGAGATACTAAATCACTGGCCCAAGGTCAAATAGCTAATAATTTGTAACCAGGATTTTAGTCTTTGCCTGATCCCAAAGTCTATACGCTTTCCGGAACTGTTCTCCATCACACAGGCAGAATTGTCTTTCCACCCTTTAGAAACTCCCAGAGCCCTTTCCCTGCCTTGCCTGGCTATGTAGACCCCTGGAGGGACAGGGGTACCTGTGTACCTAGATGAAGCCGATTCCATGCACGGCTATTTTAAAAACAAGAAATAAAAAACTAAAATGTACAAAGACTATCGAAGCAGAGGCAAGGAAGTCCCAGATTCCACCAAACCCTATCATGGGTGGAGCATCTCTAAAACAGAAATCTAAGATTTGGAATTCTCTGAAAATCTGAAACCTTTTGGGCCCTGCTCGTGGGAAAGGTCATGCCTTGGAACCTTGTTTCATGTGCAAAATTATTTGAAAATGTATACAGTGACCTTCAGTCTATGTATATAAAGTGTGTGTGAGACAAACATTTCATTTTAGACGTAGCCCTGTTACCAAGATATCTCATTATATACCTTATTACCTGTATATTTTCTAAAACTTGAAAAAGAAAAAAAAAAAAAAAACGAAATATGAAACACTTCTGTATCCAAGCATTTGGGATAAGCAGCTGTCAATCTATGTTACAGAGTACAGATAGTCTGTTTCCTAGAAGTCCCCTGGTATTTCTGAGCACCAGGCAGCAAATGGGAAGCCACAGCACAGAGGCAGAATCCTAAAAAGATGATAAAAGCAAATAAAATGAAACAGATAAAAGATTTAAAACTGTGAAGAATGGAGTCATGGCTCTGGAAGCAAATGTATTAGACCAGGGGGAGACGAACAGGAGAGCAGAAATCTGTGCACAAGTATGGCTCCTGTGGGGTCTCAAGAACCCCAGGACAGCCGGAACCCTACTCCATCATCTGTGTTTGTCCCTCCAGCAGATCTGTGCCCGGAGACCTGGCCCTGGGACAGTGACCAACAGCCAGAAAGACTGTGTGTCCGGGCCAAGAATTCAGCTCAGTGGTGTAAGCACCTGCTTGCTTGGCAAGTGCAAGGTTGTGAGTTCGATCCCTGGTACCAAAAAAAAAAAAAAAAAAAAAAAAAGACTGTGTGTCCTGGGCCCTTCGAAGGACAGGGGGGTTCACCTGGCTGCTGAGCATGTGCCTAGTGTGGAACCGAGGAGGACAGCAGGCAAAGCAGGAGACAGGCAGTGAGTTGGGGGACTTTAGGTTGCTCCTGGATCACCCTCCTCTACTTTGCAAAGGCAGAGCTGGATTTGAATCATGGCTCAGCCAGTTACTCACCAGATAATGAGAAAGTTTCCCACAACCTCTTAGAGCCTTGATTTTTCTCCAGAGAAAATCAGTCTGATAAAATCTCCTTCCCTAAAGATTGATCAAGACTCTAAAAGGTGAACATTGCTTTGTGGTATTTCCCAGGCAGTTATTATTATGCAGAAGTCTAACTTCTCCTTTGAGCAGAGGTCAGAGATCACTAGATGTTATTTTGAATAATCCATGCCAGCAAGTCTTCTAAAGCAGGGCCTTATGTTGAAAGAGAACAGGAACAAGTAATAAGAGTGTTTGGCAAAACATTTAGATCCTTTAGGGAGTCTTTAAAAATTTTTAAGTGTAGAATATTCTATTAAACTTCGAAAGACTGTATTTTTTCCCCCTAGGCCTGCATAAGACATCATGTTAGGGAGGACAGACATGGTCTTCTTGCTCTTGGTGGCATCTTAATGGTGACACATACATTTCTTAAAATCCCCATGAAGAGATGTAAAATCATGATGTATACTATGAAAAAGCAGGTACTTTATTTTTGGTACTAAGGATCGAACTTAGGACCTCACACTTGCCAGACAGATGCTGTGCCACTGAGCTACATCCCTGGCCCATGTGCTTTCTTTTTGACCCTGTGGCTTCCTTTGTTGTTTCAATTTGTGGCATCAGTCAAGTTGTTATAAGTGTCTGGGAATGAGTATCACCATTCATCCAGAACTCTTCCCTGTGATGGGGAGGACTCAGGTGCACACTAGCTTGTCTTAAACTCTCTTTATATATCATGAGAAGTGGAAATTCCCATCTTTACCTTCTAACCCACTGCTAGTTCTGTAGACACTCTAGTAGGTCAGGACCAATCCCAAACTTAGTGTTTAATTTATCTTGGTTTTTAGAGAGCAACAATAAAATTATAGTTGTAAATTACTTCATCCTTCACTGCATCTCTTACTGATGTTATTCTTTAGAACAGGGTAGAGTTTGTAGTGATGAGGAAATCCCGCCTTTTAAGTAAAAAGGATGGACAGTTTTCTCATGAAGAAGGGTATTTATTTCTCAAGTGGGTATTTGAACTGTGATGACAATGACATTGGTTTACTGGCTTTGTTTTTGTGTTGTTGTTGTTTTGTTTTACAGAAACAAACAATCCCTGCTGTCAGAAAAGAGGTAATTCACCTCCCAGTTCCAATGGAGTCTATTGTACAATGCTCTAACAAATAATATGTGTTTTGACTTTATGCTCTACACTTGGTAATTAAATGAAAACCACATTTAATGTGTGGTTTAATTGTGTAAGGCTCACACAATTGTTTCCAAATTAATTCATGGCACTGGAGGCCAAGGGATCTTTTGCAGCATCTGAATGGGGCTGATGAGGACTCGGGATGTAAAACGTCCTTTGAAGTCACATTGAGGGATGGACAGAGAGGGCTGTGGGAATCAATGCTGCAGAATGGCCCCAATCTGGCCCCTGTTCCTGTAACTACAGCGTCATGCAGAATGTAGTCAATGAGACAAACTACCTGTTTTGGCCAGTCTACAATACAAGGCCTAAGACAGAGCCCTGAAAGCCCTGGCCATTAAGGTAGGATGTGTCAGTGGGTATCCGAGGAGGGGATGAGGAAGAGATGGCTTGCTGCTTTCACAGCTGCAAAGTCAGAAAGTTGAAGATGTCCCCTTTGATGGGGACCATATTACTTCTGTCATTAGAAGCATGTGAGGGAAAAGCCAACCATCTGGCCTCCAAGTCTTAGTTTAATGCTTTTTAGGACCTTTTTCCCCATCAGCGAGTCCCTTTTGCAGACCAACACAAGCTATGTTAAGGTGGCCACTCATTTGCTGGTGAGGTCCCTGTATGCTGTGGGTCTGAGCCCTCTTGGTAATGGGGTGGCTGGCTTGAAGGATGGGCTGGGCTGTTGTCATGGATACACAGCTTCTAGTTTGGGAGCCATCATAGTATCAATGTTAGCAATGTGTAAGGGTGAGGGTTGGACATCTTCTAACAGCTTCCTCTCTTTCAGATCATGTATTACCAGCAGGCCTTAATGCGGTCCACTGTGAAGTCTTCGGTGTCCCTCGGAGGGTACGGCCCTTGATTTGTTGTTCTTGCTAAGGCTGGAGCAGTAGCTAGGCAGGAGGGCAACTTCAGCTCTAAGGCAAACCAGACAAATCACGAACTGACTGACTGCAGGTGTTAAAGAACTGAGGCAGAAAGCCAGGGTCCCGGGGTTTCTAGGCTCGTTTTTCACTCAGAGGAAGTCTCTAGGTTTTGTCTTAGGTTGGACAATATCAAGGGTGGGCAAGCTTCTATGAAATTCCTGTTTCTTGGAATTTACTGATGTTTGGAAGGGGAGATGGAGAGAGTTGCAGGCCCACGGGCTGGACTCTGTGGGCAGCTAGGACAGCCTGCATTGCTGTCACCACCCATCCAAATTTATTAGGGCTATGTGGGCTGTACTGCTGAAAGTCCATGGCTAATCTTCTGTGTGTGTGTGTGTATGTGTGTGTGTGTGTGTGTGTGCGCGTGTGCATGTGTGTGTTTATTTTATAGTGGGGACTAAACCTAGAGCATTCCCACTGAGTTATATCCCCTGCTTTTAAAAAATATTATATTTTGGGGCTGGGGATTTAGCTCAGTGGCGTAAGCGCCTGCCTTGCAAGCGGTGCAGCCATGAGTTCGATCCCTGGTACCGATACAAAAAAAAATTATATTTTGAGACAGGGCTTCCCTAAGTCCCTGGCTTGAGTTCATGATCCTCCTGCCCCAGACTCCTGCACTGCTGGGATTAGTGCAGGTATGCACCATCAAACCCAGCTTCCGCTGCTAATCTTTGATTTAGTTTGAATTTAAATTTATTGGAAATTTAGGTTTAATTGATTGAACTTTCAGATTACCTGATCCAGTATCTGGGAAATCAAAAAGGCATTAAGAGCTCCCTGAACACAACCAGTTATCCTTTTAAAAAATGTGTGGTTCCAGGCCAGGGATGTGGCTCAGTGGCACAGCACCTGGCAAGTGTAAGGACCTGAGTTCGATTCTGAGTACAAAAAAAAAAAAATTGCAAAGTTCATTTTAGAAACACCGTGCTAATTCTGAATTTTCCCGCATACATGAAAGTCAAGTTGGCTTATCATGTCATGATTTACTCTGACTGTGGAAGACTTAAACAATGGCACCGGGCGCTTTGGGGATTGAGGAGGCTGTGTTTGTGCTGTGCTCTTCTTCCAGTATCGGGAAGAGACAGGCTCTTGTGAAAGTCTTCAAAGATTTTTCACATTTTATCAAATTCATAGTTTGCAAAAATTGCCACCTTCCCTGAGAAAATGTCCTGTGACACCACTACATTTTCCAGGGGCCACTCCTGGTGCTGCCAAGCCCTGGTGGCAGGTAAGAAGTGTACCCCATACCCACTTTGGATTATAGTGATAATTACTGCTCTGTGGTAAACTCAAAACCGTTTTCTCCGAAACAAGTTTCATGAAACCAAATGGAAAGAAAATTGAAGGTGACCTGAAGGCTTTCGGATGCTTCCTGGACTCACTTTCCCATTTTGGAAAAGTTGTCTCAGAGCCTCATGATCCTGATCATACATCAGTAGTGTTTGGGCTTGGGGACCAATCTTTTTCACCCCTCTGACTGCTTCACACATGATGTGACTGAAGAACAGAGCATCATGGGAGAAGTGAAGCCAGGGGGCTCGAGGTCTGCAAAGCCAGGTCTGTGGTTTAGCTCTGGGCCAGGGATCCTGTTCTAGCCAGATCCGTGGCCACAGGCAGACTCTGGCAGGGGCCTTCTCTGTACCCTGTGGACACCATTCATCACCACAGCTGCAGCTTTTCCTTACTTGTCAGAGGTCAAGAAATACACTGACTCAGAAGATCTGACTTCACTGGGGCGTTTGCTTGTGCCCCAAAGCTAGGCATTATCCTAGGGTAGACCCAGCTGGGTGGCAAAGTCCAAGCAGCTCTGTGGCAAACTCATGCTTCCAAAATGAGTGAGTGAGACTCAGAGCCTGAATCAGCTTTGAAGTCTAAGATCTCCTAATAACCTGAACATATTTGAATGAACTAGGCACAGAGAAATAAATGACAAAAGGCCCGGATTGAGAGAGAACACTTTGTTTCATGAGCAGACTATGGCTAGCTCTTGCCCGTATCCAATCCCAGGGGCTATTAGAAATTTCCCCAAGACAATAGTAAGTACAGAGCACAACTAAATCGGTATAGGAAGACGGGTCATGCTGGTCCCTTAGCCTGCACATTCATCTAGTCCCTCAGTGCTGAGCTTCTAGGAAATCGCTTTCCATTTACATTTTAGGATCGTCAAGTACAGCGAGCAGTTCTCATCCAATGATGCCATCATGTCGGGCTGCCTCCCTAGCAACCCTTGGATAACAGATGACACCCAGTTCTGGGACTTAAATGCCAAATTGTATGTATTTAATGCATGATTATCATTGCTTTTTACATTGTAATTCACATGCCATACAAGTTACCTGTTTAAACTGTACATGTCAGCGTTTATTATATTTTCATCACCTCCAAAGAGATCTCAAACCCTTTAGCTCTCACCCCACGAACCCCCATGCTCCAGCCCCAGGCAACTACTCATCAGTCTAGTTTCTGTCTCTGTGGGTTTGCCTGTTCTGGATCTTTCATGTGAGGAACCCTACAATATGTGGTGTTTTGTTGTTACCTTTTTCCACGTTGCATCATACTTTCAAAATTTATCTGTGTGTAGCATGCATGGAACTTCATTTCTGTTTATGGCTGAGCAATAGTCATCGTGCAGACATACTACATGCTTTTTGTTCACCTGTGTCTGCCTTTTTGCTGTTATGAATAGTGCTAGTGGGAACATTCATGAATATTCATGGTGGAGGAGCAGCACAGTGGGTCGCAGGCAGGTGCCTGGCTGGTGCCTGAGACCACAGCTTCTATCACCAGTGCTGTTCTAGCATTGTCGCCTGGCCCATGATGGCAGCTGGACCCTTTTCAGGATGGTCTCCAGGCCTTCAAGGGGATCTTCAAGTTCTTTCTCCCTGAAGGCTATAGGAGCAGGGCCTGCGTGTGTAGCTCCCACTGTGGGTACCGTCTCACCTGTAGGAGCTCATTTCCTAGATGTGAGCAGCAGGGGACTTCCCTGCAGCCACATCTTCCTAGCAAGTGCTGCTTGGACTGTGCATTGGGATTGGGAGGACTCGGAGAAGGTAGAGGAGGAGGAGGACTAGGTGGAGCCCTGGGGTGTGGGATTAGTGGAGGCTGCTGGGGTGGGGTTTAATTCCTCATCCCTACCCAGGCCATTGCTCGGTCCTGGCTTGTTGGGAGAGTTGCATTTCTGAATTACTGTCCTTGCAGGGTGGAGATCCCAACCAAGATGCGGGTGGAGCGATGGGCCTTCAACTTCAGTGAACTGATCCGCGATCCTAAGGGTCGGCAGAGCTTCCAGTACTTTCTTAAGAAAGAATTCAGTGGTGCGTTTTCTTCTCTATTTGCTTAATTTATAATAATTTACCGTCAGTAGCCCTTCTTTGATGTCTAGCCTAGGGTTTGCTCAGTGGATGTTTCCATGGCTTTACTTAAAGCTCTTAAACAGGGCTTCCACCTTTGTAGCATTAAGAGTCATATGTAGGTCTAGGACTCACTCACTGCATTGCCTCAAAGAGGCACAGAGGACTGATGAAAACTGTATCCACTTACAGTCTGTGTCCGTGTCAACACATTTCTGAGAGCACCCTCCCATCTTGGCTGCCCTCTCTTTATCACCCAGAGAGATCCCACTCCCCCACTCCAGCCTCTAAGTGTAGCTTTTCAGGGAAAGTGGAGGGATATAGAGCAAGCAAGCTTTCCCTTTTGGGCTGCCAGCCTTTCTCAGCTCAGTGCTTCTGCACATTTGGTTCAGCGGGGGATATTTTGAACACATGTTGGCCCAGATTCCCATCCCTGGAGATGCCTTATGGGTTGGTTTGAGTTTGAAGCACTGAAGGTTGGAAAGAGCTCCAGGTGACTGTAATATGTAGCTATGCCTGAGAACCATTGCCGTAGCTCCCGGGCGATCTCTTTGGGGGCCTTAACACTATGTGGATTTTATGTCTCATATCTGGGTTTCTCATCACGTGGACACTTTTGACCTCTTAAACTATACTGCACTGAAAAACGCCTGAGGAAACCAAGAGGCCAGATTAGAACCAGTTTTACTAGGCTGTACATTCAGTTGGCTTCAGCATCTTTGCTGAAATAGTTCCTTTTATGGGGTTTGTTTGCTGCTTATAGAGTCCCTAGCGCTGGGAGGTTTCACATTTGAACTTTGAGACAGCCCCCTGCTACCCAAGACCTGTTTCTTTGTGGAGTTGCTCCTGAAACAAATCCTACTGGATATGCCTTTTTTAGGGTTTGACTGATGCAGAACATTGCATCATAATATGGATTGTTGAAAATCTTTCTCCCTAATCAAGCCTAATTGCCATAACATAATAAACCCCAGAAGAGAAGGCTGGAAACAGGGCCCTTAGGGCAGGCTGGGGAAGCAGTGCGGATGGTGCCATCTAGTGACGAAGTGACAAACTACACCCACAGCTGGTTTTGTCCTATTGTACCTTAGAAAATAAGGAATAATCCAGAAAAGATTTCCCTGTGTTATTAAAACTATATTGTGGATGACATCCTTAGGATGACTAAGATATTGAAAGGGCATAAGAATCATTACTTTACTTGTTTAATTAAAATCTTAAATTAGGACCTATAATATGAAATTCACCTTTTTAAAGTGTACAGTTCAGTGTTTTTTTTAATACAGTCACTATGTCTGCATCCATCAACACTATCTAATTCCAGAACAATTGTACCACCCATAACTACCCCTTTGCCCATTGGAAGTCATTTCCTCTCCCCCACCTTCTCTCCACTGATTTCTTCTCCTGACCGCAGCCCTAGGCAACCACAAGTGGACTTCATCTTTATACGTTTGCCTATCCTGGACATTTACTGTAAGTCAAGTTGAAGGATCTGACTCTCTCTGCACGGAGAGGAGCAGTGTCTCATTGGCTTTTGTGACACTCAGTAAACCCCTCGTGTGGCCAGGCCTTCCCTGAGGTCAGTCCTGGCCTGTCACACCTGGGGATGGAAAGGCCCTGGAAGGACTTCTGGGACGAAGGAGGGGGAGCCCCGCAGGTGAGCTCTCCACACAGTGACAAAGGAGGCAGAAGTCACAGAGTCATTTAGCAAAAAGGCTGGGGTGCTGGAATACATGTTTACGTGCGTTGTCACGTTTTTTATGTTTGCTACAGATAAATTGGAGTGCAAACATAATGTAGCAGCCTCTTGATGTGTGTGAGGTTATTACGTGCTCTGATCTGTGTACTGTTGGTGGAAAGAGCGGCAACCCCAATGTGAATGTATTGCTCCAAATGTGGTGTTCGCCAGACCCACAAATTGTAGCCACTGCTGGGTTCCAGCTGCGCTCCCAGGCCCTGATATCGCCGTGTGCAGCAGTCTGTTTTGCAGGGAAGATGCTCACCAAGCCGCAGAACTGAACATCCCAGCTGACCCATGTCTTTTTCCCCCTCTTCTCTTCTTTCCCCTTGTTCCTGTCTGGCTTTTGTCTGTGTGACCCCCCCTCCCCCGCCCGCCCCGCAGGGGAGAATTTGGGATTCTGGGAAGCCTGTGAGGATCTGAAATATGGAGATCAGTCCAAGGTCAAGGAGAAAGCAGAGGAGATTTACAAGTAAGGACCAGCCAGGTTGTCAAGGGCCCCTTCCTGTGTGCGTGGCTGCAGCTGGAGGAGGGAGGTTCCCCAGGTGGCCAGCCTGGCCCTGTCAGCACCAGGCACAGCACTTGCCAGGCTGTAAATACCCTTGCTGCTTTGGAAGGCTTGAGGGTCCTTCAGAGGCAGCCTGGTGAGATAAACGAGGGGGTCCCGTGATCCGGTGGGCATGCGTCTAATGGTTACAAAAGCAAGCTGTCCTGAATGACAGTACAGTTTATTAGGTCATGCATGTATGTGCGTGCATGTGTGTGTGTGTGTGTGTGTGTGTGTGTAACACACAAAGACAGGTGGAGACAGGAGTGACAAGGTGGGGAGAACCTATCACATGTGCCATGTTATAATCAAGAAGGTGATGAGGGGAGGGCAGCAAGCCAGGTTGGGGTACAAGTGTGGGCGCTTCTCGTTTCTTATTCACGGCTCTCACTGCTCCTGTAGCAGTAAGGCCCCCACCCCAAAAACCACAGAACCAAGGGTTCAGTTCAGAAGGCTCAGACCTGCTGTTGATGGCTGGGGGAGGAGGCAGGGAGATGGGACAAGGCCACCGAGATTGCTGAGAGCCACACTCTCCACCCGCCACCCCGAGCCTCATGGGTGCACAGCCCTGTTTGGTCAGATCCCTGCGGCCACAGCAGACAGCGGTCTTGGGCTCAGCAGGCTCAGTGATTTCAATTTGAACTCAGAGCTACCTTGCAGTTTCTGAGGCCCAAGTTCTACATGACTCGACCAGCTCTTGCAGCCCACTCCTTGCTGAGAAGTCAGCCTTTGTCCCTCTGGTGTCCTCCTGCATGTGGAGTGGACTCGGGATGGACATGCCTCCTGCCACAGGCAGGGGCCTGGACACCGAGAAAGCTGAGGAGGAGATGCAGATAGGGTGGGAGGTTAGATACCTTCCTGGAGCACAGGACTGCTGTGCTCAGCATAGGTGGACAACTCCTGATGTCAAACTCCTGCTGCAAGGGACCTTGCTGGTTTTGTCATGTTAGCCACCTTCCTCCCCAGGTGCCTGCTTGGGGAAGCCTTAGAGGCATTCCAAATTTTCAGGTATGTCTTCGTAGGGCTGGAGAATATCCATATGAGTATATGTAACCTGGGACGCTATGAGTCAGGAGATTGGCAGAGCTTCCTGTGCCCACAGCCCCAGGTAGGGTCACGGGACTCAGAAAACACAGCCATCTTTGGAGCCATTGGCTTGGATGCCCAGGGTTCACACTTCTGCCCCCAGCTCAGTGTTGAAGATTCATCATCAAAATCATTTAGACAGGGTCAAGGGAGAGCAAAGAGAGCCCCCCACTCGTTTTGTGGTGTCTCATCCTGGCTCCAAACTGCTCCCCAAATCCAAGTGAATAAGCAGTCAGAAAGGGTTAAGATGGAATTGGTCTCTTCATCCTCTTGGTTCAGAACTATGGATATTTTGGTCTCTCTCCTAGAGCCTGCAAACCTTTGAATATGTTCATTCCCAGCACTGGTGTGGCTGTTCTCTTGCTTCTAGGAAAACCATTTACCAAGCTCTTCAGGACTCATTAGTGTCTCCTGACAAACAGGCCCCCCTCATCCCAGAGCACCTGTTATGTCAATGCCTCTTTCATAGGCAGCTGCACACATCGGTGTGACTACCTTTGCAAACACATCTCTCCCTCCACAGACTGTTCCTGGCCCCAGGGGCGAGGCGGTGGATAAACATCGATGGAAAAACCATGGATATCACAGTGAAGGGGCTGAGGCACCCCCACCGCTATGTGCTGGACGCAGCCCAAACCCACATCTACATGCTCATGAAGAAGGTAGGTGGGGTCCGCACAGGGGCTGAGAGAGCCCTTTTCTCCCCAGCTACCTGGAACGTTCTCCAGATGAGGAGGGGGGTGGGGGTGTCACTACATGTGGATACCACTTTGCTGGTGGTGGGATGTAGAACTGGCAACTTTTGTTCCACTTGTCACCTGGGCTGGGTCCTCCTTGGACCAGAGCACGAGGACACCTGCAGAAGCTGTCTGCATCTTGTGGACTCCTTGCTCTGCAGGAGAGCTGCAGGGAGTATCAGTGACTCCAGTAGTGGGAAAATTAATAATACCTGTCACATGTTGAAGGCCTATTAGTTACAGTGACTGTGCACAGCACGGAGTAAAGAGCCGGACAAGGATGGCTGTGCTCCTTAGGGGCGATGGGGTTCAACACCTGTTCTAATGGAGCCAGAGACCATGCTCTGAGCCTGTGCTGTGGCATAGTAACAGTTCTTGGGCAAGTGCGACACATGGAAGGCTTGTGTCTAAAAGAGAAAGTTAGGTGTGACTGTAGTGCATCCCCAGGAGAGTTCAGATGGCCTTCTGGGTTATTAAAACGTGAATGTGGGAGGAATCATCAGGGAATTGCTAAGAATAAAATAAAGGGAACCTCAGGGAAAATCAGTTCCTTTCTTAGGAAATTATGACTGGAGGAAATTAGGACTGGCTTCTGGAGGTCCTCTAGTTTGGTCCCTACGCAGAGCCGCCCCAACGGGGCTCCTGCTGACCCTTTGACTTCCCAGTACGGCAATTATTCCTTTTATGGGAAAATGCTCTGCCAGTTTCCTTATGTGATGTGAGTTGGTGGGATTGGTAAATGTTTGTGATTTTCCCTTATGTTTTTTTCTGAGTTAGTCTTTTATTGTGTTGTAAGGAAACACATTTACTCTAAAAACAGAAAATTACATAGAATTCTCAGCGAGCTATATTAGCCAGTTCCCACCTTTCCCCCCCCCCCCATCACTCAGGTTTCTCATAATCTCCTTATTAGCAGACACACAGTGCAGTTTTAAAATTTTAAAAAAATTTTTAGTGCTGTCTTTTTAAATGATAGTCCTCCTTAATGTATTTTACGATGCTTTGACCTTTTTTCTATATGTAGTTTTCATAGTCTTTTAAGAGATGCACAGGGAGGCCAGCTCCTGGCCAGCATGACAGAGTCACAGGTAACTGATCAGCAGAACGATGTATGTGCTTACTGTCCTCTGTGTCCCTATAGGCCAGAGACTCTAGTGACAAGATCTCCGTGACTCTGCGCCTCCATCTCCAGCCTCATTCTCCAAAACTACACTTAGTCTTTAGAATACTCCTATCTCAGTCAACCTTTAAGACTCTTGTTGGTTCCTAGCTGTCATAGAGGGGTTTGTCCTGTCTTAATTACACCTGGGATTTTCACAAGTAGCTGGAGGTAGCACCATTTGGGAAATAGTTTCCAGGCCCTGCCCAGGATCCCAGGGGACATCTGCAGGGGAATCCAAGTCTCATTTTTCTCTTTTCTTGTATTCTTTTGCTTTTATGCCCAAAACACAAGGCAGAAGGCACTGTTGGTGGGATGGGGCTGAGCTCTGCGTGCAGGGTCCTTGTTTTTGTTGGAGGTTGGTTCTGGGTGGGAGAGGCTGTATCCTCCTGTCACTTGCTGCCTTCATGACATGGTCAACAGCTCTGAGAAGGGTCTTGGTGTGCAGGAGTGGGGGCTGTGCCCTTGAAGCCCCAGGTATGCCATTCTTTGGATACCAGATGATATGCAACTGAGACAGAGTCCTGGATCACTAATAATAGGCTGCATTTCTAACAGGTTCCCAGGTGACATGGATCTCGGCCTGGGACCCACACCTGAGCAATTGCTCCCAAGGTCTCCCCAAACATCTTTCAGGAAGGAGACATGTCTGCCCTTTGCCATTAGGCCACCCAGTGGGGCTTAGGGTAGCAAGCAGATTTTTCCTGCCTCATAATCAGTTTTTCTCTTGCTTTCACCAGGATTCTTACGCTCGCTATTTAAAATCCCCCATCTATAAGGAAATGCTGGCCAAAGCTATTGAGCCTCAGGAAACCACCAAGAGAAGGCAAGTAGAGCTGTTTGTAATTGCCGCTGCCTGTGTTTAGTTTACTAAGAAGCCGGGGTTTCTTCCAGCCAAACGGCTACTATGGATACTTACTTGATGACAATATTGGGGACTGGCAAGTATAGCATCTCACTTCTTCCTAATACCCTGAAATTAACTCTCGTGAGATCCCCTTAGTGGTTACTTCCAGTGAGTTGCTTCCCTCATGCTGGTTTGAAAGAGGTTCTGATTACTGGACCAGTAATTACCCTTGTCACAAATGGAAACATCTCACTGTTTTTTTTTTTTTTAATTGCTATTCTCTTTCACCCCCAAACTGATGAATGGGACTTCATTTAGCTACTTTCTTTTATCTGCATTTTTTCAATTCCTTCGAGAAGATTGCAAATTGTATCCCAGAGAAAATGATAGCCTTTTAGGGGAAAGGAAGAGTAACAGCCAAATGTTCTTACGCCCTCCAGGCGTTACCCTGTAGATGCTGTTCATTCTCCTTTGCACTGAAAGTGTACATCATCGCCCTTTTAGAGCCGGTGGGACAATGAATGATCTAACACTGGGCAGGCACACAGAACCGTTTTGGTGGGAGGGTCCTGGCAGAGGCGTTTCAGGGATTGAAGATTCAAAAGAGTAACCAAGTGACAGCTTGAACAAGGTCATAAGACTCTGGCGGAGACTTTTCAAAGCGCCGCCAGCCATGTGTCCTGTCCCCATGTTAGTAAATGCCCAGAGAGTCCATGCTGGGCTCCTTTCCAGCATCTTCAGTCAATTCAGAAGGGAGGCAGTTGGGCCAGAGCGTTTTTCAAAGGAGCTTAAGAAAAAACCCCAACTTGTTTTCATTCTTGAGGATAATGGCGCTGTTATTAGCAGGGGAGAAAGGAGGTCTTTGTGGGGCTGTTCTAGGTTTACGAGGAAGGAAGGGAGTTCAGTATCTCTGGGGACTTGAAAGCTTCTCCCTTAAGCCACGAGAAAGTCCTGTAATAGCTTCAGCCAATGTCCTGCCAGAAAGCAGTGGGGGCCGCAGGAGGTGTCTCAGTGCCCGTAGGAATTCAGCTGGGGCTCTGAGTAACAGGGACCATGGCTGGGTGCTGGCTTTGGAGTGAGCTGATGCAGCACAGGACTGTTGTGGTCACTACTGTGAGTGAAAGTCCCCTGTGTGTGCTTCTGCACAAGACGAGACTCAGTCTGTGTCCAGGCAGGAATACAATGAGTGTGAGTTTGTTTCATGGCTCCCAGGTATAAGATGATGTTTTAAAGCTTAAATTTTCCAAGGCAAGCTAAGCCTATAGTGAAAGCCTTCACCCAGGCAGAACTGTGAGACACCCTGTGTCAGGCAGTGCTTTCTGAGAGGGGAGCCATCCACCTTCCTAGGATAGATATGAGAGTCCTAGAGACTTAAGAAGTCCCCAAATTTGGGGTAGGTCCTAGGGCTTCAGTCTGTCGTTGCTGTCGTTGAAATACTTGGTTCCCGGAGCCATCTATGTCCTCAAAGGCAGGTATCTCAGCTATTCAATCTCTCCTGGATCACTTGGACACCTAAAACTTTGTCTTGGTTCCTGAGAATGTAGAGAGATTGGTTCCAGGATTGTTTGGCTTCTGAAGAAGGTTCTGACTTTTCCCAAGACACTGCATGAGCCCAGTCCCAGGCCACCACCCTTCTGCAAGCCCTTTCCTCCTTCTCTGCCCATTGGGACCCTGATATCATGGACAGTCCAGCTCTCTGTGTCCTCCCAGAAATTGGTTTTGAAAACAAATGGTTCACTCTCTGCAGGGGCTGGAATGCTTGGGCTTCCATAACTTGAGCCTGCCAGTCACCAACCTGTCTTTCCTTGCAGCACAAGCCTCCCCTTTATGCGACGTCACCTGCGCTCCAGCCCAAGCCCTGTCATCCTGAGGCAGCTGGAAGAGGAAGCCAAAGCTCGAGAAGCAGCCAACACAGTGGACATCACCCAGGTCATGAGCAAGCTGGATCGTAGGAGCCTACTCAGAAAAGAGCCTCCTCCTCCTCCTAAATAGATCTGTGGCTCCTGGGGTGGGGAGTGTGTGCGGGGGAGGCTAACTGAGAAAGGTCAGTCAGAGTCTAGAAGATTCCATTCCCTAGGAGTGGGATGGTAGGGTCCACGGTCTATCCCAGATTCTTCTGCCTTCCTTCACAGCAGTTTCCCAGTCCTAGGGCCACTAGAGCTGCTCTATCACTCTAAGTTCCCGAGGGCCAGGGCTGGTAGGGGTCACTGGACTCGGTCTCTATGTGCTCATCTCTCTTACCCTAGGAAATTCTCATAGTGAGAACCATAGGGAAAACAGGCTGCTTCATGTCCCAAAATTCACTTTGGAAAATTACAGACAGCTTCTCCTCACTCCCACAGTACCATTCTGTCAGGGATGTGTGTTTAAAATAGCTTTGTGAAGCTCCCCCTGCCATCTTTTCCATTTACACCGAGCTTCTAAAGCAGCCTGAGATCCCTCCCAGGCGGAGGTGACAGGGCTGTCTTGTGAAAGTGTTCCCCTGGACGCCTCCACTCCATCTGCCTGGGAAGGCCCTGCTGGCACCTGTTCTCCTGTTGAACTTGTTCCTAGATGCTGTTATTTGGAGGTTTGTGGGCTGCCTTCTTCTCAGTCCCCATTCCTGTGCATATACTGCGTGCATCGGTGGCTTGTAGGAAGAAGCCATCAGGCCTGAGCAGACCAGGCAAAATGAGCTGCTGAGGACCTTGCTTTTGGCTAAAGAACACATACATTTATGTCTTTGTTCATGGGAAAAAGGATAGGGGTATCTGGGACATTTTCAAGATGAGATAGGATCAAATATACTTCTTAAGACACCCTCTAGATGTTGATGGTTCCCTTTGGTCTAGCTACTGCTTAAGGCGACTCTGTGATCAGGAACAGAGGGAGAGAACAGTTCAGAGCCTGATCTTGCAAGGCTCAGAGGGTCATTCTTGAAGTTAGGCTTTCCCATACACTCGTGTGCAAAAAGAGAGAATGAGAGGTGAGCAAGAGAGCAGCCTCACTCAATCATTCACGTATTTTCTGAGCACTTACTATATATACATTGTTGGTAAACAGCAGCAAAAATATACTGGGTCTCTTTCATGGAACTTATAGTCTCATATTGACCAAAAGTAATTTAAGCTAGCAGGTAGCTGCTGCTATATAATAAGTGACCACAGTTAGAGTGGCATGCAGTGATATTTGCTGCTAATGTAGATGGGCTCATCTCTGGCTCTGCTGATCTTGCTGAGTTCCTTTATATATCTGGGTGGTCTAAAGTGGTCTATGCTGGTATGAGTGGGAAGCAACTGCTCTGCTTCACTTGCCGCCTGTCTTTCAACAGCATGGTCTGAGCATGACTTGTGATGATGGCAGAATCCCAAGAATACTAGTAGGAATGCATAAAGCTTCACATGGCTTTCACCTCATTTTCTTAGGCACATTAGGTTCCCAGTACAGCTTAGACTTAAGGATTGGGGAAGTTTCTTCTTCTTCTTCTTCTTCTTCTTCTTCTTCTTCTTCTTCTTCTTCTTCTTCTTCTTCTTCTTCTTCCTCCTCCTCCTCCTCCTCCTCCTCCTCCTCCTCCTCTTCTTCTTCTTCCTCCTCCTCTTCCTTCTTCTTCTTTCAATGGCAAACTCTCATGGCAAGAGACATGGATATCAGGAAGTGTAAAGACTTGGGACCATCATTATAATTAACAACACAAAAATAGATAATAATGCCTTATTGACTATAGTCTACAGGAATATAGTCTATGTCTCTTTGAGGCAATCATAGACAGGTGGGGGATGAAAAAGAATTGATCAAAGAATGTGGGTCAAGTAGGGAGAGGAAACTGTGTGGGCACATGCTAGATTGTCCCTCAAATTGCTGGAGATCTACTCCATGCCACACATAGGATCCCACTATCTAAGGGAGATTCAGGCATGTAAACCAAGTAGGTGATCATTCTCTATTCAGTGGATGAGCAAACAAGGGTGTCAGCATTGCCCCCTTGAAGGAAGGTACAGGCTTCACTCCTGGATGGAAGGATTATGCTCCCCAGATGTGTTTTAAAGGCCCCTTTGGGCTGGGATCAGTGGAGAGTGCTCTGGTGGGTACAGCAACAACCACATGGTCCTTGGGGTGCTGGCAAAAGTGTATGGATGCACATGACTGGAGCATGAGGCAGGCTGTTGAGACAGCGGTGTACATCCTACAGAGGAGTCCAGAGATAGGAAAGAGTTGTCTGACCTGGGGGACCCATAGAAGCTTTAGAGAGGAGGCTTTGCCTACAGTGTAGCCCAAAGTGTCACCAGTTAGAGATATGGGAGCAGGCATACAGGTCCTGAGAGCGGAGCCCAGGCAGAACTGTTGCTCATTCTGAAAGAGTGTGCGAGTTAGGAAGCAGGGCTCCCTCCAGGCAAACACAGCACTGCAGCACAGGGTGGTATTTCAGCCCTACTTGGTCCTCCACCAGGAGGCTGAGTAGGCTACTGCTTTCTGATGATCTGGTGGTGCAGGACTCAGGGCTTCTAGCAAATCTAGAAGGGCAGGTCAAAGATGACCGTGAGCATTGTGAGCTGGAACGTGGGTGTTTTTCTGTAGCTGGTGAGCCATGAAGAGTGCTCAGTTAGTGCTAGCTGTATTCAGCATCGTTATCATCATCTTTAACAGCATTATCATCACTGTCAGTATCGACATTATCGCTTTTACTGTCACCACCATTTCCTCATCTTCATCACACCACCATTACCACCACCGTCATGACCACTGGCTGCATATACTACCACCATAACTATCATCTCCACCACCATCACTGTCACAACCACCATCACCATCAGCACCACCATCACCATCAGCACCATTACCATCACTACCATTGCCCCTGTCATAGTCACTTGCATCATTATAACCACCCTTTCTTGTAGCTTTGTGTTCTTAGAGTACGCTCATGCTTTTTTCCATTCTGCCAGTATTGTCCAATACAGTAGCTCATAATTCTTTATTATTTAAGCTATTTCCTGAGGAATATTTAAAACATCACTGTCCTTAGCCAACTTCCTTCTTTGAAGTCTTAGAATCCTGCAGATCTGCCTTCTGAGCTCTCCCGGGAAGATTAGGATATGTTCCAGATGGAGGGAGGGTGAGGAGTTGATGTCATGTCCCCCTCTGGAGCTTTGGGAGTGACAAGTTTAGTGACTAGTCAGCCTGTGATCCCACAAGTTAGGGCTGAAGTAAAAGTCCGTTCCAAATGGGAAGATCTTGTGCTGGACTGCATCAAATGAGATAACTCATAGGAGAACTAAGAAGGTCATCCAAGTGAATCTTCCCCGAAGGAGCCAGTTTAGGCTGTTTGCGTTTGTGCAGGTAGAAAGGAGAGAACAGGAGAGACTGGATATGTGACACAGTGCCCTTTGTGCTGACCCTATGTTTGACACTTATGTCCACCATCCTGCTCCCAGGAAGAGAGTTCAGACCATCCATCCTCAGCCAGTTGCTGCAAATAAAAGAAAGAATTGCATCTCTGCACCATCTGCTTTGCCTTCCATTAAAGTGATTGTATTCTCATGTTAATGTACCTGCTCCATTTCATGCTTCTCCCTTCCTCTTTTGGTTCCTTTGCACAATAAAAAAGCAGTACATAACAACAAAAAAACCAAACTTTCCTCTACTTTGTCTGTGTTCTGTCACATTTCTCTGTCCCATGTGTTGCATGCCACTGCTTTGCTGCACATGCCAATGCGAGGTGGGGCATGGGCTGCAGGGTCTGGGTTCTAGGAACAGAGCTGAGGCCTCTGTGTAGGGGCCAAGGTGGGGATCTATAGTCACCTGGTGGGAGGGACTGGGAAAAACCTCCTGTTTAGAGTACCCTGGTCCACATGGACTAATGGCTGTTTGCTTAGAAGAAAGGACCTCATCAGGCCAGGTAAGTGAAAAAAGGTAGTGACCACCTTGCTTTACCTATCTTGGCATTCATCTGGGAACAAAGAAAGTGCTGGGGAGAAGTAGGGTATTTCCTAGTTGGGGTATTTTTGCCCTATTCTCTAGATCTCAAGTCTTATCTGAACTCCACAGGCAATGAGATGACACCATAGAAACAGCAAGTCTGGGTCAGCTTCTCATATAGTCAATGGTTTTGTTTTTCCATTGCTGTATCACAAATAACTACAAACAGTAAGTGTTTATTACCTTAAAGGTGTCGAGGTGAAACTTGGTGGTCATGAGCCTCTTCTCCAGCCTCAATTTTCTGATTTCTAAAAGGGATGGTTATAGATTCACAGAGGGTCTGGTATGTGGGTGCTTGATACATGTCTTAGTTACTTTTTACTCGTTGCTGACACAAAATACCTGAAGCCCAAGTTGGGAAAGGAAAGGTTTATTTCTTACGGTTTTTGGAGGTTTCAGTCCACACTCAGTTGGCTCCAAGGCAGGCGGGCATGGCTGGGCCGCAGTTCATGGCAGCCGTCGACAGCAAGCTCGAACCAGCAAAGAGAAAGACACACCTTCTTCCTGCCATTACATCACATCCTGGCTCCACCCCTATGTGGGTGGAGCACTGACACCATCAATCCAAGAACTATACAATGAACCATCACATATGAACAATCTCATGAGACCTGGGGGACGCAGACATAAACCATGACAATACATTATTCAGTTGTACTATTTCACCTCACAGTCATCTTCCACACCCTTCATCTTCCCCAGCCTGGCCACATCCACTGTCATGATTCTTGGGAATCCGCTCCAATAGAAGGGAAGAGCTGTTAGAAGCTCAGTCCAGTGCATCCTGGGCTTCCTAGCAGGGCAGTCCATGGAAGATTTAGACTGCGGGACTGCTTCTGATATGTCACCTTCTCACTGAGGGGTCACTCGAAAAGCTGAGCTAGCTCGCTGCAATGTCTTTGATAAGAGAGTCAGTCCCATTGCTAACCACTTCCCAAAGGCCCCTCTCCTCATACCTGAAGTTGATGACTCCAGTCCTGGATGTAGGAACTATTTCTTTGGTGACTGTCCCTGCAGGCTGCTCTTGGCACTGGAAGCTGCCCGCATTTCTTGCATGCTTTGGGTCTCTCTGACTTCTGTCCCTAACCTCTAGTCACAGATCTAATGGGCTGGTGACCTGGCTAGTGGGTCTGCACACAGACATGTGGCAGTGAGTTTGATGTCAAGGCTGCCCTTCTTTTCTTTCTTTTTTTTTTTGTCTTTTTTGAGACAGGGTCTCTCTATGCAGTTCAGGCTGGCCTTGAGCTCACTTTGTAGCCCAGGCTGGTCCTGAACTTGTAATGATCCTCCTGCCTCAGCCTCCTGAGTGCTGGGATGACCACGCTGGCTAAGATCGCCCTTCTATGCCCGCAGTCCCTTGGCTTCTCAGAGAATGAGTCTCCTCATCTGTAAAATGGAAATAGTACTGAGTTGCCTCACTGAGAAGTTCTGGGGACTAAATGCAATCATCAGTGATTGCGTGATCAGCCCAGCACCTTGCATCTGCTAAGCTTTTGCTGTGTATTTTCAGAAATAATGATTGTTACTAGTGTAATAATCCAATAGCCCTGGGCTTGGCTCTGGCTCCCCATGTGTGAGAATCTGGGCCACGGAGCAGTAGCCACCAGCTGCTGTTTGAGAATGGGAGAATTTTGAACTTCAGGGGGCTCACATGGAGAGTGGAGACGTTCTTCCTTCCTCATCTCATGCAGACTTCTCAGCCTCTGTGGGCCTTGGCTTTTGTCCTCTTCCAAAGGCAGTTGTTGGGTGCATCTGCCACCCCTGTTCATTTTGAGCCCCATACCTCAGATGTCCTGGAAACCAGGCTTCACTCTGCAGAAGCCCGCAGCTCCTGGCCAGAACTGGGCATCCTCCCTCAGCCGCAGGGCAGCACTTTGCTGGGGTGGGGCAGGTGGAGGCCTCTGAGCAGGGCATCCCCATGGTTACTTCAAAGAGAGTCTGTTCGCTGCAGTCATTTTCAGTTCTCTCTCAGTGGTGGCACTGGACCAACTGTCCCAGACAGCCCATCTGCCCTCTGTTCCTGCCGGGCTTTGATGTGGCATGTGGCTGCGGCAGGAACCCAGCAAGCCCGAGCCATTGGGCTGTGTCTGCTGCAAAGGGAAGAGCCTCCTCGGAACTGCTGGTCTCACTTTCCTTTGTCGGCTTGGACAAAGCTCCTTCAGGCTCTGTGAGCTGACCATGTGTCCCATCCACCAGATGCCTGGACACTTAGGGTGCTGGGCCATAGCAGCCCAGGGAAATCAAGATCCTTGCCCTTTGTCCATTGGGCCACTCTTTACCCCATGTTGCCTGCTTCCTTCTGGCCAGAATACTCAGGTTCCTCTCACAGTGCCTCAGCAAGTGTTGCCTGGGTAGACATGGGCAGGCTTTGGGACAAGGTGAGGTCTCTGGCTGGAAAAGGCAGCAAGGAACAAGCTGTGACAACTTGCACCATCTCTGTGGTTCTGTCAAAATGTCAGATTCTCCAGACTTGAGGTTGAGGCCAAGGATAAAGATAGGGTGACAAGGGGTATGGTGGGGATGAGCCATTTTTCATTTGGGACTACAACAAGGGGTGATTGAGGGTTCAGCCTGGCTATACTTCAGCACGCCAGGCCTGAAAGGAGGCTAGTTTGTGCCCTGGAGCACCACTGTTTTGCCAAAGACACTGTGGCTGGGACTCAGGGACAGATAGGTAGAGGGATGACCTGGGATGAGATCACTGAATGGCTGTGCCATTGTCACCTGTGGCTTTGGAGACACTTCCCAACTCCCCAGGAGGTAGTGCTACTATGCCCGAACTCTTGCCACTGGAAGCGTTTTAGGGATACCTGCAGTGAGCCCCCAGTCTCCTGCCTGCATTAGGGGGTACAGTGGAAAAGAAAGAGCAAGAGACAAAACAGAGGTGCAGGCAGGGATCTGGGATGACCAGTTGTTCTTGGGCACAAAAGGCCATGAGCTACTCAGAATCTCGGTGTTTATTTATTACATCTGAGTCCAGGACAATGAATGAAGGGCGGTGGGCTTTTCCAGGATCAGCAGTGGTGGTGGGGAGTAGTGAGAACAAAGCATTCTTGCAGGGACAAGGATGACACGGGATGGGGGCGGACGATGAGGAAACTGTCTGTCATCACCAGCAGGTCTCATATTACCCTGTGAGCACCATGACAGTCATCAGTCCTGGGGCTTTCCGCTGTGACCAGAAACAAGCTAGGAGTTTCCATGGTCCAGTCAGGCTCAAGGGAGGGACAAGATGAAGCTTGGACATCCCCTAGACTCAATTTATAATTTGTGGTCCCCAACCGAAAGGACTGAGTTAACAGAGGACAGTTGGGGGCCCTGGTGACTGGGACCACAATCACTGCTGAGCTCTCTCCGTTTCTCCTCTACAGACGGGCCAGCACATGGCTCCCAGTCCCCACCTGGCTGTGTACACCGGGACCTGCGTGCCGCCCTCTCCTTCTGGCCCCTTCTCCCCCTCCTGCCGCTCTCCCCGAAGGCCCTTTGCGTCACCCAGCCGCTTCATCCGGAGGCCCAGCAGCACCATCTGTCCCTCACCCATTCAGGTGGCCCTGGAGAGCTCCTCGGGCTCAGAGCCCAAGGGAGAGGTCAGCTGGTCCAGTGTCCATCGTGGGCCCCTGGCTACTGAGGGCAGTGAGGCTTCCACCATCTGCTCCGGGGCTTGTGGCCAGCCCAGGGCCACCACCAAAACCCGTGCAGCCCTGTCCTTCAGCAGGTTCCTGAGACGGGGCTGCCTGGCCTCACCTGTTTTTGCCCGGCTCTCCCCAAAGTGTCCTGCTGTGTCCCATGGCAAGGTACAGCCCCTGGGAGATGTGGGCCAGCAGCTGCCAAGACTGAAACCCAAGAGAGTGACCAAGTAAGAAGCAGCAGGCCCTCGGGCTGTGTGTGTGTCTACCATGTGGCTGTGCGTGTGGACGGAGGCTCTGTGGTGTGAATGTGGTCTGGGGCCAGGGTCTGGGAGGATGACCCTGGAGAGCAGAACCACAAGTGGGCCGCTCTCATCTCAGGGTCAGTGGGAAGTCTCTGGGGACCCAGTACTGTCCTGCATCTTCCTGAGAAAGAGGAGAAGGGGCAGGTGTCTTTCCTTCTCTTCTTTAATTCCGTCCCCACTCTTGCCCCAGCTTGTCCCCCTCTCAGCCATACTAGTCAAATAAATCTGTGGGCCTGGAAGGGGCAGGAAAGATTGGTGGCTGCCCTGGGGACCACAGGTGGTGAGACCCTAAGGCAAGGTCCTGCAGCTTCTGCCCTGTCCCTCATCCTGCACGTCCTTACCTCCAGCCTCCAAGGGTACCTGCACACACCCTACTCTATCCAGTCGCGCAGTCCACTGGCAGGGATCCTACTGCAGCAGTGGTTTCTGGGACAGTGACAATGCTGATTTTGCCTGAGCAGCAGCCCCTGTAACTGTACTCCCAGTGGTTCTGCAAGTCTGACCTCTGAGAAGCCCAGGTGTCCTGACACAGTACGCCAGGAGCAGAGACGAGACTCAGAGGAGGCCTGATAATGTCTGGACCAGTCAGAGAGCAAAATTGCAGACAGTGTAAAACCAGGGACCAGTGTCAGCCTGGTGGGATTTAGAGGAGACAGTCAGGGCATCCCTGAAACAATCAACCCTGCTTCTGGGTTTGGGCATGCCTGGGCTTGGAGAAGGAAGGCTGCCATGGATACTTGGGAAGGTGACCTCTGCTGTGTTGTGTGCATGCCTGATGGTGAGGAGCAGAGGCTGATACCTGGCCCTGTCTCTGTCACATGGCGAGAGCAAGAGGAAAGGGTGGCTCTGTTGCCTCAGGAGGGCATCAGGATCTATCTAGTGTGAGTATGTCTGTCGATCTTCCCCACTGACTTCCCTGAGGGAATGGGCCAGCGTGGTGGCCACTGCTATACCTGTCATGTGTGCATAGATCTTTTAAAAGGTTCTCTTCCCAGGCACTGCCAAATCCTCAGAAGGCAGTTCAAAGAGGCCGAGAACTGTGTACTGCTAAGTACAGGAACATGGCACATTCATCAAAATCCTACACAGACAAGCCCTTCACAAATGATAATAAAGCCTGTTAAGAATTATCTTTAATTTAGTAGGAAAGTAGGACCCTCTCCCCTTCCCAAAATCCTCCAATAAGGTGTGCCTTGGCTGCACACCCAAATCTTGGTAAATGCCCTGGTGCACCAGGCTTCCTTGGGGCTGTCGGAATCTTTTGGGGATTAACTCTCCTCCTGTTCTTTCATTGCTTGCTTTTTTTGTGTGTCTGAAGCTTTTTCCAGATCAAAATGGATGTGCCTACGGACATCGGGCCCTTCCTGATGGACTCGGATGACACAGGGACAGGAGAGTCTGGGGACCGGGACACAGAGAAGGAGGTCATCTGCCCCTGGGAGAGTCTGGCCTCAGGAAAGGCAGGCTGATCTGGTGTCCCTGGCCAGGAAGATGTTCCTGGCAGACACTGCTGGACTGGGCCAGGGGATGCACTTGCTCCCAAGCCAAAGTGCACTAGGATGAAGTGGGAGGCTGGTGAGACCAGACAGCACATGGGGAACAGTGCTCCAGCTGGCTCCCAGTGGCCGCTTCCCTTCCTCTGACTCTCCTTTGCTTGGCCAGAGAGGCATGTGGACCTGAAGGCCCTTGCTGCCTTAAAACCAATAAAAGAGTGAACTGAGTTTCTTGGTTTAGACCGTTAGCATGTGCCTGGTTTTATTAGTTATTCAGGAGCTGAATTCACGTGTTCAGTTTGTGACAAAGGAACACTGAATCCTCCCAAAAGCTCTCTACTCCTGTCCAAATGGGTTTGGGAAGGATGCTTTTGCATCCAGGGGACCTCTAGGGGATACTCCTAGAGTGCTAGATCCTCTAAGAAGTTGGCACCAGAGCTGGGTGTGTTGGGAAAAATACCTGCAGAGAATGATGGGTATGAAATGAAGAAAGAGGTTGGAGGATCAGACCCCGTGCAGGTCTCACCTCTGGGATGGAAGTAGAGAACAGGAAATCTCTGGTGCCAGCACAGTTCCAAGAAAGATGTGGGTAGGCCACCACGTGGGCATACCAAGTTGAAGTCATTGGCCCTGCAGTGGCACTATTGCTGTGCTTGGTCACTGGCTGGGAGCCTTCTGGGGGAAGCCTGGTTCCCCTACAAGCGTGTGCTGGTGGATCATGTGCCACAGTGACTTCTTTTGCCAAATATTTGCTAAGTGCCAGGCTGGTGGATACTTCCGGAGGCGTGGGTCTTGGCTGCCCCTTCCACCTCTCCTCCCAAGTACACATCTGGTATGGATTTATTAACTGACCTCCCTCAGTGTGCTCAGCACTGTGCAAGGCCTGGGAATGTGCCTGAGATTAAGACCCCGTGCCCTGTTGATTCATCTGGTGGCTGTCAATCAGGTTGATTTTTGTCCCTTACGGGACACCAGACAGTACCTGGAGTCGTTTTTGGTTGCCATGACTGGGATGGAGGGTGAGGGTTGCTAATTAGTAGACAGAAGTCAAGGGTGTTCCTAAGCATCCTCTAACACACAGAACTCCCACAACTAAAGATTATCTGTCCACAAATCAGTGGTGCCACTGTTAAGCAGCCCTGGACATCTTTATCTGTGGTTTTTGGCTCAACCCTGAATTGTACCAAAGGGTCCTGGGAACATAATTGGAGTGGACAGTGGGTTGAGATTAAGAGCTACCTAGTGAATAAAACATTTCTTAAAAGTTGCATGAAAAGCTCTCAAAGGAGAAAAAACATTTCAGTGCTTTGCAAATCACTCATTCTGCTCCTCCCCTGGGCCCTTGGCTCCATCAGGACTCAATTAGTGGATAAGAGCTCCTGCTTTGCTGTTAGCCTCTGAGAGCTCATCTCGCTCAAGCCATAAATACTGGGGCTGTTGGGTCCTCTCTGCACACTTCTAAAAATGAATGTTGGGATAACTGGGCATGGTGGCACAGGTCTGTATTCCTAGCACTCTGACAGGCTGAGGCAGGGGGATTGCAATTTTGAGTCCAGCTTTGGCAACTTAGTGACTGGGTCAAACATAAAACTTTTAAGAAGTTCAAGGAATGTAACTATGTTGAAGTCCATTCTTGTAAATCAGAAATGAAAACAATAAAAATGAATCTTGGTGTGTGGCCCAAACTCTGACTTGCTGATCCCTATAAGATAACCACAAAATCTTCTGTACTTCAGGGGTGTTGCCACATCTTCCCCACCTCCATGTCCACACCCAGGAGGAAGTGACCGGAAGGAAGCAGCTTGCATCGCGTCTTCTCCCATCCCATTGGTCAGCACTTAGTCATGTGATGTCTCCTAACCGGAGGGGAGTTAGGGCCTTGTAACCTTCAGTTAAACCAATTTTAGGAGCAGCCAAACTGCCAGAGGTTTAAACACTAGGGAGGAAGATGAGGAAAATTGGTATTGGTGGACACTTGGTTTCTCCCACATTGGAACTATCACACGGTCTTGGTGGGGAATGAAAATATACTGGAAATGGGAACATGAGAGCTAAAATAAAAGGGAATAGGGAGACGGTTAGGATTTTCTGGGGGGTCTTTTTTGCTGAATATTTTGTAAGTTCCTAAAAATGCAGCCGTCCTCCTTCCCATGATGGAGCAGGTTTCACTCAGATTGCAGGTGTGAAGCTGCCAGTCACGCCCCAGGTGTGCCAGAGGGAGCGAAGCCCGTTCCTTTGCAGAGCTGCTCTCCTTGTTCTGATGAAAGCACAGAGAGCTCAGACTTGTGAGTCCCTGGTGGAGCACAGGGTGTGGGATACGTAAGTCCTGCCTGGCCCCTTTCCAGTTTGGGACAGCACTTGAATTTTCCTCTGCTGACCAGGGGTGGCAATGTGATCTTCCTCAAGGGGTGGGAAAGCATATAAGATGACATGTGGTACATGCATGGCCCTGGGGAACCTCTCACTTCACTTAAGAGAGGGCAAAGCCCTAGTGGGTGAATTTGTGACTTCTAGACCTCCGCTTTTGCTAGGCCTGTCCACCTGGCCATGGCACTATTTCATAAGGGGCAGGTGGTTGGCACCTACTGCTTATGCTCAGCTTTCAGGGTCACAGTAGAAAGAAGCAGAAAGAACCCCATTTCAGTATCACATTACATTAGTCAACATCCCAGGAATGTGCTTATTTTCTTCCTCTTGACAATCGAGAAGCAGAACCAGTTTTTTTCCAGGGTGATTGTTCCTTTGCTCTTTGGCAAGGGCATCCTGGGACCCATGCAAGGCTGGGCATTTACTGAGCCCCAGGGGAGGTCACAGTACTCCTTGCTTATTTGGTGAGACCATCAAGAAGCCTGTGCTGGCCACACTCCCAAGGAGTCGCGTGGTGCCAGGCAGATGGACTGGGGACTTCTGACTCAAAGGCCCAGCCCTCTCTGCAGGGAGGCCAGCTTGTCCTCACACTTCACCAGAAGAGGGAGTTGGAGGCTCACGAATCTCCAAAGAGAGGCAGCTGGGATTTTCCCATGAGTTCATTTCCCTGTGCTGGAAAGGCAGGCAGAGGGATGACGAGAGTGCTTTCCCTCTTGGAAGGCCTGGTGAGAGTGTTGGGGGCAGTGAGAGAACTGGGCCTCTACTACACACTTTGTCCTCCCCCTCCTGCCCAAGACGGGGACCCGTGAGAGGGAAAACTCTTGCTGGGTCTCCTTGTTGCCTGCAGCCCTTGGTGACTGTGGGTCCCTGGCTGCTGTGTGCAGATGGGGACCAGGGGGCAGAGCTGTATACATGGTGGCCTTGGGCAAAGGTTGAAACTTCATGAAAACACTCCACCAGAAGGAAAATTTCCTCAATCTTGTCCAGGGAATAGAGGCCAGACGAATCCCAGCCCTTGGCCAAGGGTCATCTCTGTGTCAAGCTCTAATGCCTAGGATTGGAGGCCAATGAAGCCTTATTACTTTTGAGTCCTTAGCTGAGAAGGGAGACCAGAAGTCTGGGGTATTCCAAGTGGCCAGGTCAGCATAGAATCATAAGAGTGGGGATGAACAAGATTTTTAGGTCCTCAGCTATCATCTCCCATATGACAGAGATTCAGAGAGAAGCTGACTCCTTTGCTTATGGGAGATCTGCCCCTGGGGAGGCAGAGTACAAGAGAACAGTATGCAGGGGTGTGTAAACACACTCTGGTCTGCAGGCTGCTTACCTATGGGACTATGGAGTTGATACTAAGTGGAGTGGGGGCATGACCCAGACCCCAGGACAATGGTAATTTAGGGTGATGCACGTGGAAATCATCACCAGCAGTGGCTGAGAAGCTCAGTGCCCATGAAGGACAGCTCTCTCCCTGACACAGTGTTTAGGAAAAGGTGACACAGTGTGTGAGATGAGGCACTGGGGTTCTGAGGGGTTCAGTGCTGGGCTGATCCTGAGCAAACCACAGCATGTGTCTCCACAGATCCTTTAGAAAAGAAGAAGTCTCACAGTCCATCTGCTAACTTCTAGCAGACTGATATCTTCTGGCCTTAAGCCATAGGTAGTCACTAAGACTAAGTAGTCTTCTCCTGACGGACTTGGTCTCAGGAAATCAGAGATTTGGACACTCATCTAACAGACTCACACTAAAGGAGCCCCTTTTAAATTCCTGTTCACATTTAATCCTCACTACAGTGCTGTGGGCAACCACGTCAATTTGCAATTGCAATTTTCATACTTGTATGTGATAGAAACTTCAGCTGAACTCTAACATGCTTCATTCTCTCTCTCTTTTGTTTAGAAATTTCAAAACACAGAATACAAAGGGTAACAGAACCAATATCTATGTACACATCACTTAAATTGGCTAATTTTGATCAGTTTTGTCTTGGTTATTTTCTCATTGCTGAGACCAAATACTCAGTACCCCAAATTAAGGAAAGGAAGGTTTATTTTAGATCAGTTTGTGGAGGTTTCAATCCAATGCAGAGTGGCTCATAGAAGAGGGCAACAGTTTGTGGCAGAGACAAATAGCAAAAGCAACCAGAGTAAAAGGGGAAGAGAGCATGGAACAAAGACTCTTTCTGCCCCTTACACTGTATGTAGGCTACTCAGTCTAGAGTGGGAGTAGCATGCACACCCATAATCCCAGCATTGGACCATGAATCAAGTATAAATTCTGGAACCCTGCCCCCATGACTGCATGAGGTTTTGCGGGACCATCTAGACACAAACCATAACATTCTGCCTCTGCCTCCCCCCCAAAGACTCATGCACATCCCTTTATGCAAAAGGCATTTAGTCTTTAAGAGTTGCCAAAGTCCTGTTTCAGCGTTGCTGAGAAATTTAAGCCCCAAGTCTCCTTCAATATCTAAGGCAAACTCTTAGCTGTGAGCTCCTGTACAAATGAAAAGAAATCTAAATACTTCCAACATTCAATGGCTTATGATAAACATTACCATTCCAAAAGGTACACATGGGAATACAAAGGTCTGGGACTAAAGCAAGTCCAAAAATCCAGCAGGGCAAACATTAAGTTCTGTAGTTCCTTGTGAAACATACAAAGCAATCTGTGGTAAGTTGTAAGCTTCAAAGGGCTTGCATGGCTCCTTCCCTATCTCATTTCTGGTTGCTATAACTCCCACAGCTTCTCTCTTGAGCCTGCCTTGCTGCTTCCTTGCAAGTTTCCTTAGATGATCCACATTCCCAGTTTTTACAAACTTCTGGGTTCTCCACTGCACCTTTGGCATCACCCTCACAGCTT